TCCTCCAGTTTTCATATCGCGGATACATTTCTCTAGGTAATTGACATAGTCAATGCTTGCCTTGTTGGGAGAGTCAGTATGTTGTCAAATTTCCGGACAAAATGTGGCTGTACCTGAAGAATGGCCAGCTTATGCATTTCCTGCCCGGTGCATGCTGGGATCATATCTTTCAACGTCCCGAACTCCTCGTTCATCTTGGACCGTCGTCGCCGCTCAATTAGACTATGTGCGGTCTTGCGGGCGATCTTGCGGCCTGCAGCACTAGTCGCACTGGGCTGTTTCCTTTTAGAGTTCGATGTGGGGGGCATGGCGTCTTCTGAACTCTGTGAACCCTTGCCATTTTCCCTCGTCCTGGTTTTTGAAGGTGACTTTGGCTTCATCTGGATGATCTTGCGAGTTCTGGTTGGTGGCGGAGGCAAATCAAAGTCCTCGAGTGGGCGTTTGATCGATGTACCCGACCGTGCAGTGTGACTTGAACGGCGGCCAGAGAGCTCTGGAGAGGTTGGTGATGCCGGGGCATATGAAGGATCTGCGCGGGAAGATCTCCGACTGGCGTTACTCAATGCAGGAGGAGGTAATGTGAAGGCATCCCCGTCGGGCTTATCTTTGATGATGAAGCCGCCCGACATGGCTGGAGTTGGAAGTCGTGACATTGTAAAAAGATGGAGGGGGGGGGGAGAAATATGTAAATAGGTGCAGAGTTGTACAGCAAGGGGTCCAGACTATATAACCGTGAACGTCCTCGCAGGCCAGGTTATAGATAGTGTCGCGTGCTTCCAAAGGTTACGCCCACGAGCTAGAACCGGCGATGCTGATTGGTGGAGCGGAGACTCGTGCCTCAGGGAGCAACGGACATTTGCTGGAGTCAACAGTGGGGCCATCCCGAGCTTATTGGTAGGTACTTGGTACTTACATTAGCGTGGTGGAAAGGGGCTACCCCGTGGTACCTGGTACCCATTACATCAATTGAGGTAGCGCAGCACGTGCATCGATTGGAGGACAGTCTACGCTCGACAATTACACGGACGCACTTTTATGTCTCGTTCTGGCGACGGCAACATTTATATTCCCATTGGCTGGGGATAGCCTGTGTCGGTCTCCATCCACGGTTACATCTGAAGACTTTTCCGTTTTGCGTGAGACTCGCACCTTCTCCCTAGAGTACCCGCTTCCTCTCGAGTCATCCACACATGGCACGTGCTTTCTCTTTGGAGTCGAATTGTGGATGCCGGGCAAGCTAGCTCAGGGACGATCTGTTTCGGAGTTCCAATTGGGAAGATAACGGGAGACTGCAATAAAGCATTCATATCACATGATCCCATGACCCCATGACCCTCATCCCCTCATCCAATCTATTTACAGCTTCGGACCAGGTTCCAAAGAAATGACGAAGAAATCTCCAGGTATGCTCTGAAGATGGTGGACATAGCGCAGTCCGTATGCAATAGGAATAGAACGAAAGAAACATGTTTTGATTGGGAGTGGATTGAATTAATGTTCGAGATCGCTACGGGGCATTTCTCTCGGTCCAAAAAGTCAAAAGCATATTCCAATCTCTTTAGAAATCAACAGCTATGTACGTCTATACCCACCAGATGTTCGCTTTATCCACCGAACGGACATTACTTGAAAAGCCTCTCAAGGATGATATTACCAAAGTCCTCCTCCCCAGGAGACTCATCCATCCGCCAGATGCGGTTACCAGCACGGCCACTCAGCCAGAGACCATGGTCGCTTGAGCTCTCCTCCTCGCCTTCAATGCGGTGACGGTTGCGGCGATCGGTAACGCACATACCGCGAGTCCACTGGCCCAGTGTGTCGACTCGGATATCCTCAGGCGAGTTTGCCGAGTGAACCCACTTCGGGTCGTCGGATGTCAACGCATACCAGACGCATACAGGGTCGTGCAGACTCAGCATGGCGTCATCACCAACATGTCCAGGGTGCAGGCGCTCCAAGGTTCTAAAGGTGTGCCCCATGAAGGCATCGACCCACTCAGCCAGCGGGGAGCCGGCAGCTAGAAGAGGCGTAATGGCCTTTCGGAACTGGCCGCGTGATAGATTGTGACGCAGGGTGATGTCAAGTGGGAAAAGACGCAGAGTCAGTTGCCGGCTAAGACTTTTAGGATACGGTGGGAGACTCCCGCTCTTGGTGGGTGGAACTGTCGTGTGGGGGTTGGGCGAGGTGAGTGCGAAGATACGCGCGGCTGCCACTGCGTCTGCGTAAGCGTTGAACTCGCCCATTGGTGTCACCTATTAATATTAGCCAACGTTTCTCGATATTTCTTAAATCTGGAAAAGGCTTGACTCACATTTCCTGGCTCGTTGATGGCACCACCCATGACGACCACCTCTTTGACGCGGAGAAATGTCTCCGGGTCTTCTGCTGCAGCCAAGGCCAGATTAGTGAGCGGGCCCACTGCTACCAGAGTCACTGAATCGGGCTCATTGTCACGGAGCACACGGAGAATCTCCTTGTATGCTGGAAGCTTGGATGGGGTGAATGCGTGGTCGTCACTTGAGCAGTCCTCGACAGGCTTGATTCCCTCATCCAAGGTTTTAGCGAAGAGGTGCTCCCATGCCTTAGTGGCGGTGAGATGCGGGTGCTTTTAGAAGTCAGCATGGTTTTACTTGTTTTTAGGCCATAGCAAAGGCCCGGCTTTGTATGGGCTTCACATACCGTTGCGTGAATACCACCAAGTCCGTCGGTTCCGTCTGCGGGGAAGTCAGTAAACGGTAGCTGGAATGGTAGAGCAGAACTCACGGAAATAGTCGGCAAGCATTTTCTGGTCTTCAAGGGGGTCCTTCGCGCCGACAGCCAATATAGGACGGCAAGCTTTCAAGCTGCCGAAGCCTTCTGGTCGGCCGTTCTCGCGGCGCCACTGCATCTCCCGCTCGAGGATGTGGAACATTGACACTGCATTTCGGAGACAGCTGAATATCATGTCAGACAATGTATGCACTGTTCAAAATGAAACGGTTCCTTACTTCTCCACCTCGATGTTACCGAATGTCAATGAGATGAGGAGAACCTCTACCTCCTCCGCGGTGGCGGACAGAGCTAGCAAAAGGGCGAGGACATCGTCAATGCCCTGTGCTATGGTTAATTCTGAAATTATTGAAATGGAATCTCAGGAGCATACCGGATCCGTGTCAATGATAATCTTCTTTCCCATGGTGAATGTTGTTGACCTTCAAATGTTGGAAGATGACGGAAGTGGGAGCTTATCGTTATCGATTGTTATCGGGCTGCGGGGTTTCGTCTGGCTATGAACCCCTCGTATGCAAATCATATACTGCACACTTTCAAGTGTATATTAGAGACGCCACTGTTAAAATGATATCTAAGTGATTGATCATGGTATATATTCCCAACGAAGAAAAATCTACTAGTCCAGGCTTAGGACTGCAATCCCGGTGACCGACGGTCCGCGGGCGGCCAATCCCCGTTATCCACCCGAGCCTCACTGTGCCCCACCAGATGGCGGCAACATATTCGGTGACAATATAGCTCCTGCTCGTCAAGATTTCTACGTGGAACACTTTTGGAGGGCACTTTTGGAGGGATTAATGTGATCAGGAGCTTGTGATTGTTACTAGAACATGTCTCTTGAGCCAATTATCCATAACCAATGTCGCAGAATACGTGAGAACCAAGCCGTAGCAGCATTTGCATATCGCCCTCAAACACGTGGATCCAACCTCGGTACCTGCAACTTCTAGCGCTGCCGATAGCTTGACAGCGTGGCGGATGTCTCCTTGCCTGTGAACTGGTGGAGGAGCAGAAAAGCGCCTGCATTTAGGTTGGAAGCTATTCAGACAGAGAACTTGTATCTTAAATTTCCTAGCTAGAACACAAAAATTGAGAGAATCAAGTCCAGGTCTTAGCTTATTTGTCCGTAGACTGGGTTACTACCGACGCGTTCATACTAAGCGCACCTACGCATCTTCGGCTACGGAGATTTACACCCCTCATGTATTCCGTGGGACTTTTCAAATGGCAATGAGAGCCACGACTTCAGGATCGTCCACGAGAAAGCCCGGTTTGATGTTTGATGCAGACCTACATGGGCCTCATAACAAATATCGTAATGTTATGGTCCCTGTGGTAGGTGAAGTAGCATTTGCTACGGGTCCCTCTGCCTGCGCTGTCTCATGGGGCTACGGTGAGATGGTGGTCAGAGGGATGGGAGGAGAGAAGAAGAAAAGAAGAAGAACTGGGGGGGAGGGGCCCTTTTATACCCCCAACCCACGTGCCTTCCTAAAGTGCGACAGGTCCCTCGCACCTTCCCTGTGTCCCGGTAACTGCGAACACAACCAAAGTGCTCGGCACTGGATAGGTAATACGTGAGATTCTATAGCATCGCATTGTTTCCATGTAAAGTTGGTAAAATATTCAATAACTTTTATTGGCCGATTGACCCCAGCGCTGCATTGCCAACAATAGCGGGTCTTGACTTTGCGACCATCAAAGCCGCGGTGCTACCGATACTACGGATAGTACCAGGACGAGTATCAGTACGAGCACCAGTACCAGTAGCAGCCATAGCACGGAATCCAGCCTTTCAAGTGGTGCAAAGGCCGGGATTGGTATTGGTGTTGCGTTGGGCGTGGTGCTCTCCATCAGCTTCCTCTTCCTGCTTTTCTGGCACCGACGGAGAAAGATTCGCCAAGGAAGCGAATCACCTTTGACGACACAGACCCCCGAACTTGCTGCGGGAAGTTTGAATCGTATTGCTCCCCCAGCCGAATTAGCCCAAACAAATTCATTAAATGAACTACCGGGTTCATCTCCGAGGGCCCAAGAGCTTGACACTGGGATGGTTCACAAGGCTGACAAGCCTAAACCAATTATAAAGTGAATTACAATATCTGGATGGCCCCAAGGATTAGCTATATCGATGCAACCTCTCAATATCGGACAATTTATATGCTAGGAGTAGGTATATTCTTGTATATCTAACTATGACGCCAATTGCAGAAAATTTCGGCCTCTCATTCTTATGCTTTTACTTTCTCCCTTAGATGCAGTCGACGTTTCCATTTCATGCGGCTCTTTCTCATCGCCCGCTGAGTCCTCTCTAGAGGGTAATTGACTGGGGACTCGCCGCCGGTGAAAACCATGAAGTCATATAAGAAGCCACCAGCGAAGGCACCACTTATGGTACCCACCCACGGCCCATAAAACCAATACGGATTCGAAAGGAGGTCTCTGCCGTAGCCAAGTGCCAGAGGGGCAAGGCGTGGGCCAAAGTCACGGGTTGGGTTGAATGCAGCGCCAGTCTGGTAAGCGAAGCTAATCATTAAACAGGTGATGACGAGCCCGATAATGAGAGAGTTCATTCCAGCACCGGGAGGGGCGTTTTGGTCGTCACCAAGGGCAAGAATAGTGGTGGTTAACACGATGGTTCCTAAAAACTCGTTGAAAAAGGCAGTGGCAGGCCCAATCCAGGCTTCGCGCTGATTAGTTACAAAGCTGTTGATAATGCCGGTATCCGTATTTGTGTCGATACTGAGGTAGTGCTGAATTGACTGGTAATAGATCCCGTACGCGGTGAGCGCAGCGCAAAAGACCCCGACGAACTGTGCTATGAAATACTCTGGCATCTTCCGTTTTGAGAAGCCACGATAGAACCACAACATGATAGTGATAGACGGGTTGAGGTGCGCACCAGAAACACCTCCGGAGATGTAGATTCCCGACATAGTGGCAAAGCCCTAGGCCCAAGCGGTGGTATTCGGGTTTCCGGCATCAGCAACCGTGACAGCCAGGTCAGCGCAGAAGCCAATGAAGAGCTGTATAAAGGCCCCTAGAGCCTCAGCTAGAGCTTCACGATGGTGAGTCCTGATCACAGACCAGGTAGTGTGGTTGTTATGTACCTCTTCCTCAATCAACCCTTGTACAAGGGGATGTAGATCCTCAGGTAAAGCCTCGTGATCAAAGTCAAGACTACCTATTGTAAAATTATCCTCGCGCAAGTCCTGCGGAGGCTCTTCGCTCGGAGGCTGATGCTGATCCTCCCCTTCCTCGACAGAGGACAGCTTTGCTGCATTAGGTGAAAGCCACTCGGAGGGTTGTCTCCCGCGCATTGACGAAGTACGAGATAATCGGCTAGATCCAGCACCACCGCTAAGGATTTTGTTCATTATGTTGCTCTCACGTTGCAAGCGAGCATCCTCAACTTGCGCCGAAATCTTCCGTGGATCAGCGAACTTCTGGATCTGGCCCCTCTCGATATCATTGGGGTCAATGTCAAGCCCGAGCTTCTGCGAATTCTCCGCTGGAAGCTGAGCAGAGGCATGGTTTTCCAACAGCTTCGCTTTGGTTGGTACCATGCCCGGCCGTACCACTCGAGGCAACGGTTTTGCCAAACTCCATACTGGCTTGGCGTTGGCAGGTTGCTCGTAGGAAGGGTTCAGGTCGATGTAACCTGGTTGGACGAATGGTTCGTGGGAAAGTCGCAACTGAGTTGTCTCGTCAGGGCCAGTGACAATGAACTCCCCCTGAGTCCTCTCTGCGAGCGTGGTCCGTGGTACGAGACTGGGTAACACGCTCCGCCTAGAGGTCGCTGAGCTACGCCGTCGGACATCAGTGCCGTTACTAGTTTCATCGAAGGAGACCCTTGTGGGTGAGACGAATGATTCGTCCGCTCGGGAACGGGTGCTCCTCGCCGGCGAGGTAGGTGTGTCTACAGACTCGGACTATGGATGGAACCAATGGTCAGTCACCTCTTGCCTCATTTATGTTTATTTATCGTTCCTTCCTCACTCGCGTTCTTTCTTTCTCTGGGTTCTTTTTGGAATTACCTTCGTCCTTGCAAGTTTGTTTCCTCCGGCATATCTTCTTTCCATATTCCAGTCGATGATTCGAGGTAATTTTTTGTGTGTTAATTGAAAAAAACAAACAATCGAAAAGAGACCGGAGAAATAAAGGGTGGAGAAGTATCCGTATAGGCAGGTTATCAAACTTATTAGGGCTTCTATTTACCACACATTGTTACTACTGTTTCAACTGTTTCAATACACAAATTTCAAATGAACACTTCGTTTAAAGGGGGGCCAAACTGAGCAAATAGATCGTGTCGTCGGACGCTAGCACTGATCCGCAATGATGCGTTTGTCGGCCGAATGAATTCTTCGAGTTATTTTGGGCTATTACGGAGTACAGGCCATATACGAAAGCCTAGACTTGACTCCGTATATTAACGAAGCATCTCATCGTTTGAATCGTCCGATGTCATGGAAAATTATCCTCGCAACGAAGATACATGTAACAAGCATCATTGCTATATGTGCTTTACCCGCCATGCGGTCCAGCCTGGGAGTCGTTGACCTTCAGCGATTCTCTTCCTCGGGGCTGCTTTTGAGATTCCCCCCATTATTTACGACGTGGCTCAAGCTCTTAGTGCTACGGCGATTCCTCGCTATAACTACACCGTACACCCTCTTAGGATCCAATTTGATCACTGTTAACTTGGTGACCTCTTTACGAACTAAGTGTCTCACTTCTATGCAAGCATTGCTTTTATTTGATTCCCTGTGGTCTCGTGATTGCCTAGATGCCTCTAAATATCTTTTTTATGGTCTTTAAACGACCCAGGTGATATTTATGCCTCTTTTCTCCAATATTCAAACTCGAGACCTCACTTCCTCGAATACCGTGCTCGGAACTTGTGTGTATTGGCGCTAAAAACTGGACAATACCTGCTTATTGTCGTCATGCAAGAAAGCTTGTTCGGCTAATATAAAAGCTTAATCTTGATTGCTGATTTTTCCTTTCCTTTTTACTTGGCCTTTGTGGATATAGTGTCACTAATTTTCCCCTCATGCGGGGTGCGGAGAATGCTTGTCAAAGGAAAGTCACGCAGCGGCGAGTCTTAAACTTACACGAAGAATATAGTAGTAAAAAGGTTTACGCTAGAGGCTGGCCTAATGGAATTTTTCGCATTCTGTAGCAAAACTTGAAGCCTAGTTTGGAGAAATCGGTCAAGGCAGTATGTCGGCGGAGATATTTGATGCATTGGTCTCGTGTATGCGAGTGGTACAATATCCAGAATACGTGCTCGGGATCAAACTTGCTAGGAGAATAGTATAAGTCAATAACTATTTGATAGTTAGTTGATAGTTGATAGTCGTCTATTCGTAGACCACCGGCAAGCCTAGATCATAGCCTTAATCCCAAATCAATTTCAAAACTAGTGCTTGAACTATACCACAAGTAGCAATGACTTGGTTAGTGAAAAAGGCCCTATGGGTTATAAAGAATGGACGATACAAGATTTAGAATACCGGGGCATAATATGGGTAGAATCAACGCCATAGATTTGCTCGGTCTCTGTATTAGATGGGGCATGTCAAAGGTTTAAATACTCAATGTATTGGCCTGATTATAAGTAGCGCGCAATATCTCCCACTTTGAGCTTCCTCGCAATTGAGACTTCACGAAGAATCTCATATTTGTTGTCACCCTCGACATTTCCCATACCTCAAACAGTTATCCTCTGTACTCATCTCCCTTGCTTGTCGCCGCGATATCAAAAATGACGGGATCAGCTACGCAACGGTTACTCCTGATCTCTGGAACCCTACAAACGCCTGTGAATCACCAAAACCCTCCCACGTTCCTTCCAGAATCCGGAACTTCTGGTTCCAGTTGCAAACATACTCCTCATAATACCCTCATGGTACCAGGTTCCGTTGAGTTCGATGAAGCTGTGCTGCAGTCTATATCACATTATGCGTGAGTTGCGCCTTGTATAGTAAACTTGTGAATATGCTAATTATGATAGTGAGAGCCATACCTCTCCCGACTTCATTAAAGTTTTTCGTGACACCTTGATCCTCTTGCGGAAGCTTTTCCAGTCCACCGACCCTTCAGCCCAGCAGTTCGTTGTTTCTGGAAGCGGGACTCTCGGTTGGGATATGATCTCTGCCAGCCTCGTGGAGAAGGGTGATAATTCCCTTGTGCTCAACACCGGCTATTTTGGCGATTCGTTCGGCGATTGTCTCGAGGTATACGGCGCTCAGGTGACCCACATACGCGCACAAGTCGGCGAACGACCATCTCTGCAAGATATTGAGAAGGCCCTAAGCCAGAAATTCTATAAGCTGATCACAATCACCCACGTCGATACCTCGACCGGTGTTCTCAGTGATATCAAGAATGTGACCAAGCTAGTGCGGCGAGTTAGTCCAGCGACCTTGATTGTTGTGGACGGAGTGTGTAGTGTTGGTTCGGAGGAGATTGCTTTTGATCAATGGGGACTGGACGCCGTGGTCGCAGCCGGCCAAAAAGCTATTGGCTGTCCTTCCGGCCTCAGTATCCTAATGATGTCTAGCCGTGCTATTCAGCAAGTGCAGTCGCGCAAGACTCCACCAGGTTCATATTACGCCTCGATCGCGAAATGGTACCCTGTCATGCAAAAATATGAGAACAACGAACCTGCCTACTTTACCACACCACCAACTCAACTCATCCGCGCTCTACACGCTAGTCTAAGCCAGATCACAGCTCGACCTATTGCTGAGCGCATTGCCATTCACGCGCAGGCTTCTGACAAGATTAAGGCTGCTGTCACTCGGCTTGGTCTAAAACAGGTTGCTACCCGCCCCGAGTGCCAGGCTCACGGGCTGACTGCAATGTACTTACCTCCTGGTTTGACCCCGCCTGACGTGCTCCCTAGCATCCTTAGGCGCGGGGTGGTATTTGCGGCTGGCTTGCATAAGGAAATCGCCAATCAGTACATTCGATTTGGTCATATGGGTGTCAGTATTATGGACACAGATCGCGGCGATATTGAGAAGGCTTTGGCAGCTCTGAGGGACGCTTTGACTGAGGCGAGACAGATCAAAGGGATGTAGGGATGGAAAGGTGGCTGTGTACTGGCACAGTCAAGGTCTCAGTGGTAGTTACTATCCATCCATCGTCTGTAACTCGCTTATTGGGATCGAGGAAACTACCACAAACCTCGACGAGGCAGTAACAGAAGCCTTTGTAATTCCTAGCTCCAAATCGTGATTCTATGTATACTCGGGTCGATGATCTACAGCGCTCTCCGTTCAGTTCTCATGTAGTTCGATTATTGTCCGTCACGGCGGCAACGGCATCTATCTGTTTGCTGAGGGGTAAATAACCCTGAAAAGACCAATGGGGCTGTATTTTTCCCACATTATATCACCTGGCGGCCACGTCCGCGTGCTACATTGGTTGCTTGGTGTTTTGAACAAAACGTTCTCACCCCTCTGCGACGTTTATCGACCTCCTTTTTTTAGTTTGCTGAGAGGTTGTTTGTGACTCGACGCCTTAGGGCGGGCCAGCCCCGCCGCCTGGGCGCGTCGCGGAGTCTTTGTCGCGTCGGTGAGCTAACCACTTACAACATACCCACACCGCAAACGCCCCTAGCCAGATATTACTGAAACCTCGGTGACCGCTCATATCATGGGCTTAATGGGAGACTTCCACAGGAGAGTCAAAGGACACAAAAGAGTACGAAACTAATCTGATATGTCGAAGACTTACTCCGTACATATTGATGACCGGCGAACCAATCCCAGGCCTCCTTTTCAAAGTGCTGCATACTGCAGGTCTTAGACTCGTTAGCCAATGCAAATGCATGACTTGACCACCAATTGGACCGGGTTGTCCGTTATGTCCGGTGCATAACTCCTTTCCGCCTCGTGGTAGGGCTCCTGTAAGGGGTAAAAGAACATTTGAGAGATCCCCTGCCGGATCGATGAATCCAATGTTCAAACAAATAAATGCTCCACGCTAGGAAGATATAAATCAGAGCGTCGAAAGCGGAGAATAAAGAGATAGGCGGAGACGTGGCCTGTTCACTCTCAGTGTCTTCATATATTGGAGCTTATTAGTATGTTCCCCAGGTACGGAGTACGTTGAATACAACGATTGAAACATATGCAGTCAATGCTCAAATCAGCGTACGGTATGAGCATCACATTGAAATGTTTGTTCGCCAAGTTCCTAGACAAGTAGAAAGTCGAGGAGACTTGAACAGTTAGACCAAAGATCAAGATGCTATAGAAAGACACCTTGAAGGTATACAATAAATGCAGTGAAGTCCAAAGCCAAGGGCTCGGTAATTTACCAATACCGTCACAGTACCGAGGTGGATCTGCCACGGTTGCCCTTTCCTCTACTCCTCTGCTCTTCGCCTTTCCACCTTTCCTCCTTTCTCCATCTTCTACTCTCTTTAACTTGCCTTGTTTATCCTGCGCACCGACTGTTCCTATTCCTCCTATCCACGAATTCAACCCCCCAGCGCATTCCCCCAAGCGCTCTCACGGTCAATTGACCGACTGGAATCTCCTCTTGAGGACCTTCCTACTGGATACATCAAGCTTCTGTAGCTGAGTACAATTGGCTCGGCTTTCGGTGCGCAACTCAATTTCAAAGTGCGCGTGCGCAATTGTCCTACCCTCTCATCCCCCGCAACTTTCATCCGTCATCTTTCGGTCAACACCCATCCTCCGCCTACCTCGGTTTTAATCCAACAGTAAGTTCCATGCAACCATCATGGCAGCGTTGATGGTACTGACTTACGAGTGCACAGCTCCATGACTATGAACCCCTATATTAGTTGGGCGATCTTGCTCGTCGTGGCAGGTGGCCTCGGCTGGTACTACACCAATGGCACAACCCCCAAGGCCAACGTGATTCGAGCTGCCGTCGAGAAGACCGAGGCCACTGTAGCGCCCAAGAAGTCAAAGCGCAAGTCTAAGCCTGCTCCCGAGCCGGCTGCCGCCAAAAAGTCCGAGGTGAAGACCGTCGTGTCGTCCCCCACCACCGAGGATGACAAACCGGACGAGGAAATCGACCGCAAGGAGATGGCCCGCCGCATGGCCGGCCTGAAGACCAACGGTCCTGCTCAGCCCGCTCCCGCCAAGCCCGCTCCCACAAAGAGTCAGAAGAAGAACAAGAAGAAGGCTGCACACGCCAGCGACACCCGTGCCTCCTCGACCACTGGCGCTGAGGCTGACGACGATCTATCTTCCGCCGGGTCGCCCCAGGTGAATGCCACTGTTCCCTCGGCCGGATATGTTTCCGACATGCTGGAGGCCCCCGCCCCCGGTGCATCTGTGCTCCGCGTTACTGGCAATGTGGAGAACCAGCCTAAGAAGCAGAAGGTTCAGACCTTCAAGGAGGTGGAGACCAAGAAACAGCGCCAGCAGCGTCTCAAGAACGAGGCCCGCAAGCAACAAGTTTTGGAGGCTGAAGCTGAACGCAAGAAGCTGCTTGAGAAGCAGTTGCACACTGCTCGCGAGTCGGAGCGCCGCGAGGCTGCCCGATCATCTACACCCGCTGCCAACGCTTGGCAGACCAAGGAAAACATTGCCCCAGTGAAGACCAACGGGGTCAATGGCGGATCCCGCCCCGCTCCCGCCGCTCCTGCCACTTCCGTCTCTCAGGGCCTTCTAGATACTTTTGAGTCCCCTGCTGCTCCTACTAAGTGGGCTCAGAACCTTCCCTCTGAGGAGGAGCAGCTGCGCCTCTTGGGAGCTGCCAAAGGTGATGACGAATGGACCACCGTCTCTAAGAAGCAGCCCAAGAAGAAGGGCGCCAAGTCTGACGAGAGTGTCAGCGAGACCAGTGCCTCGGAGAATCACTCCACCCTTGTTGCTCCTGCCCCTATTGAGCCGCGCGTGACGGTGACCCCAACCTACCTCCCCGACATCTTGCGCTCGCGCGAGAAGGGCCACCCACTGGACTCTGACTGGGCTGCGTGAGCTGTTTCCTTCATGAAGTATTTCTCTCCGTTCTCTCTTCATCTTGAACTGTATTTATTACCCTTACTTCGTCTTTGTTTTCTCTTTTTTGGCGTTCTGGGGGTGTCACATCATTCAAGCACTCTCCCTCCCCTCAACATTGGGGCCTGGGAGGTTGCGCAACGCATTAGGAGCGGAATTGGTAGATTCCCTTGCAAGTTGTGCAAGAGGAAGAACTGCACTGCGGCAACAAAAGCAGAATTGCGGGAATGGATCTGACGCTGTGTTTGTGCAAGTTCTTTTTTTTCTTTGTTAGTCTAGCTGGCAAAAATCTGTATTGCAATGAAATCATAACCAATGCTTGATCTAAAACAAAATAAGGCGCAAGAATGTAGAGCTTCCTCCGATATTCAATATAGAGTCCCTGTGTCGTCACTATTCCAAAAACGGTTTAGCGGCCAGTTCCGGTTATCGTGGCCTGAAGGTGCTTTGTATACAACTCCTTGGTATTTGCTCCTGTCTTGAACTTCTTCTTCCCCAACCTGTGAGGACTCAACTCCAATTTTCTTCTTCTCAATCTCTTATTGTTTTATTCTTCCGCCATGGCCCAAATTCGTGGCACTGCGGGCTATAACCTCGGCCACCAGAACCCGTTTGGCGGGCCCGGCAGCGCAGATGCCGCCAGCGATCCAAGTCCACTGGACGCAATCCGCGAGCAGACAAGCAAGATCGAGGACTGGTTGGACACCTTGGCCGATCCAGTGAAGCCGTACGTTTTAATTCCGCTCTTTGTTTTGGTCCTATTTGTCTACCCGCGTCGTGGTCCGAGTCGCGAAAGAGCTCAAAACAAGGGATTCGAGGCATGCACTGACACCCTGTTCTTTCGCTCTCTAGCTACCTTCCCGCTATCGGCCGATTCCTGATCGTAGTGACCTTCATCGAAGACTCGCTGCGCATCCTCACACAATGGAGCGATCAGCTCCTTTATCTCCGTGATTTCCGGAAGAGTAAGATAATGCCCCTGCATCCCGGTCCCTGATCGGCACGACTTAGGGTCCAGGGTCCTGCATAACATTGTCTAACGCGCTTTTTTCTTCTGCTGGCTTTAGTTCCGTGGGGAATCACGCACACGTTCCTTCTTGTTAATGTCATCGCCATGGCCGTTTGTTCGTTCCTGGTCATCGCCCGCAAACGCACCGAGGTCGCCGTCGCGGGATTGCTCGCCGTTGTTATCACACAGGGTCTTGGATACGGTCTCATCTTTGACTTGAACTTCTTCCTTCGCAATCTGAGTGTTGTTGGTGGTCTGCTTATGGTCCTGTCCGATTCGTGGGTGCGCAAGAAGTTCGTCCCCGCCGGTCTGCCCCAGCTCGATGAAAAGGACCGCAAGATGTATGTCCAGTTCGCTGGTCGTGTGTTGCTGATCTTCCTCTTCATTGGTTTCGTTTTCTCTGGCGATTGGAGCTTCTGGCGCATTTTGGTCAGCTTGTTCGGTTTTGTCGCTTGCGTCATGGTCATTGTTGGCTTCAAGGCCAAGTGGAGCGCCATCATTCTTGTGGTCTTGCTGAGTCTGTTCAATGTGTTTGTGAACAACTTCTGGACTGTACGTTTACTGGGCGATTGATTCTATCTTTGGTTACTAATGATTTCGTCTAGCTGCATGCCCACCACCCGCAAAAGGACTTCGCCAAGTACGACTTCTTCCAGATCTTGTCGATTGTGTATGTTGTCTCTCCCCAATAGGAGATATGTCCAACGCTAACACTTTCTACAGTGGTGGTTTAGTCCTACTCGTCAACATGGGCCCCGGCCAATTGAGCATGGACGAGAAAAAGAAGGTCTACTAGAGCAGAAGGAGATCGAAACGCGATTCCCTTCTCTCTATATATCTCCCGGCATCTGCATCCTAGCAAACAAAACAAAGAGGGATAGAAATCAACAAAGGGCGGCCTGGCTGGTGCTCCGCGGGCTCCGAGCATTCAGATACGGGCCCCCTTCGACCCTTGGCTGGTTTACAGAGGCTATGCATGGCTGGGTTGGGCGTTGTTTGCATTTGGGATGATTTTGAAACGCCGAGGAGATCTAACGATCTACTTGTTATTGCGTCTTTTCTTTTTGGGTTGTTCTACCCCGAGCTTTTGTGTCCTGGTCTCTTCTTTCATTGAGATCGAAAACAATGTCCTTTGCATATGATGTTTTTGATGTGCATTTGAATTGCATCTATCACGAAGACAAACTGAATGGAAAATCTAACGCTGATTGCGACGCATATCTGCATGGTCCTTTGCTTAAGATTCAATAATGGTAGCAATGGCTACGTCTAATAGAAGGCATCTAGTAATATTGAGCCAAACTTCTGCCCTTCTTTATATATATCTCTCTTGTTGACTATTGTCAAACCCCTTATATGTTCCCATGTAGAATTTTACTTGCTGAAGAAGTCGGACTCTTATATATCCATCTGTATATAAAATCTACAATCTAGAGATATGTTGCTCATACTCAGTTCCATGATATGGACAGTCCGACGGCCCAGATCTAGATCTTGATGAAGAACAGCAGCTTCTAGAGATCTTTTAGAAGAACCACTGAGTTTCAAGAAACATTGGACTATATTTACACTAACATAGTATTCATCTCGCCGATTAAATGTCTAAAAAGAGAAAAACATTCATTGCTGGTCAAACGCTATGTACTGGTGGTAACCCTAACAGAGAGGGAGTGATTATGGTACAAGGAAGAGATAACATCTAGGAACTAAAGCAAAGCTGAAAAGATAGAAAAGAGGCCACAAAGTGAGGGAGATAAAGGAGAGACAAGGAAAAGGATTGTGAAATGATAGGAAGGAGTGCTGTCATGATGAACTCGCCCGTTCTCTTACCGCTGTAATAAAACAACGCTGTGAGGAAACAACAGAGGAACTTTTGCAGGATGGAGGGGCATTTCGCTTTTATATACCGGACCAGCCAGGTACATTCCTATGAGGGATCTGAGTCCGACAGCGAGAGGATGAGTGTTTGCTCCGAGGCAGATTTGGCAAACACGGTGAAATAAAGGACAAACAAGGACAAAAAAGGACTAAAAAGCAGATGCTCACTGGGCTTGATATGCTTCAAACGCCGTATTGCTAAACCCGGAGAAGCTGATGCGAGGGGAGATATGGCGTTGCTGAGGGATGAGTGTTGTGGAATTCGCGTTCGAAATGCTTTAGATGTCCATGCTCCAACGCCAGGGGCGGATGGGCTGCAATTGACCCAGACCAACATCATCGCGGTTGTCGTCGTTGATCTCTAGGTGTAGCATGTGGACCTTCTTGTTGTCCCGGTGGACTGTGGAGAGAGTCTTCGAGATATGTGGGCGGTAGGCCTTGTCTTCATCTGTGGCTTTCGATTGAGGGCGAGATGCAGGAGTGTCAGGGTATTTCCATTCAAAGCTTGGAGAGTCATCCGAGAGGGTCGTGGAGAACATAGAGTCAGTTCGAGAGTGTAAATCTGCGTCTGGAACATCGGAGTCGATACGGAGTCGAGTCAACGACGGTCGACGTTGTTGATGGTGCTGGGTGGTGTCATCGACAGCTCCGTCGCCAGGCTCGCTGTTGATTCTTTCAGTTTCGTTCTCCCTGGCCACATTCTTGGGAGGCCGGGATATGTTACCACAGGCACTACCACGAGTCGGCGAAGTGACGTCGGCTTTACCAGCCATAACGCGGGCACTCGGTGGCGGCTGAAGCATCCATCTGGTCTCGGCACGGCTACACGGTCCACTAACAATGGGCGGGTGGAGGTCGTTCACAGGCGGCACGCGGGCGATGTAGTACTTGGAGGTTTCGTTCGGGTCTGCACGACCGCGTCCAGAGAATCCAATGGACGATCCGCGAACTTCCTGTTGTCCCCAAAGAGGCTCATCTTCGCGTTGGTAGCGCATTGACTTCCACTTCTCGCCGAGTGGATGCATCAGGCCAGCACTCTTGTCTTTCTTGAGTTGCGAGCTCTGGTCGGTAGTGCAACTGTCCGTTCGTTGAACAGGGCGGTGACCACCCCGACGAGCTGGAGGACCAGGGCCGAGGGCGATTTCTTCCCGCCAGCCTACATTGGTACTGAACGGGGTTGGTTGTGGGAATGGACGAGGTTGGTCGGTGATTAATTCGTTGTTGCGTCGCTCCTTCTCCTTTTCCCGCTGCACCCGGGTAGCATCATTTCTACGTTTCCGACGATCGAGGTTCTCGGCGCAGGGGGTGCAAGTGGCATAATAGAAGACCGCGGACTGAGCGCCCCGATAGAGCCACATGGCTGGCGCGGGGAGGGGGGGGGTTGAGTGGGGAAGATCGGTTTATTGGGGCTTGTTTTGTGGCTAAGAGTGCACCGTCGTGGACGACGGGCTATCAGCCCGTGAAATCTGTTGGGATTGACGCGGTATTCGCTCGTTGTGTTGTAGTGATACTATCGGACACATGAAGGGCTGAGCGGATAGGGGGGAACTGCGGAAAGGGGCGGGATGGCAAGGTAAACGTATGAATTGGAGATCGCCCAGCGATCTGTAGGCTCAAGAGAGGGTAAAAAATAGTTGGGAGAGAGGGGGAGAGAGAAGAGAGAAGTGAGATGAAATGACAATTAGGGGAGGTTTCTGAGGGGGCGTCGTTAGTTTCTGCCTGGGGTGTTTCGCTTTGAGTTGATATTTTTTTTCACTGTTTGCGGCCTAACCTGGGTATTCCACGTTCATATATGTCAAGATATATAGACAATTACAATTCACCGACTTCTTTTAAATCTTCAAACAAGTTATACCCTGCAGTATACACCTCACATTGTCACAAATAGCCTCCTAACTTGCTGCGCCAAGGCCGACAGGGGGCTGAGGACCGAGGCGTATGGGGTACTAGATAATTATAGAGATCGGATTGAACTACGGAGTACCCTGTCCGGAGCATACAATCTATAACATCACTGCCTAGTTCTTTATCTCTCTCTTTGTGATCCTTTTCTTTCTTGCTACGAGGATACTTATGTACTCCGTTGACTCCACACCGTATGAGACCTTGGCATCTTCCCGCGTGGAGTCGAGCAGGAATGTGGCTGCAAACGGTAGATTACTCCTTTTTGTAGAGAATGCAGAAGATTGGAATGGTAATTCAGTAGATTCACATTCTTCTGGACCGTAGGGGCCTACATCTCATACTTGAAAGAGGCCAAGTAGTCGCATCCCCGTAAATTCATTGTCTGTGCCATCGTCTGTGCTCTGGGCCCCCCGCAAAAGTCATTCGAGGGGCAACAATGCCGAGTTGATGGTCTCATATGTAGCCATTGCATCATTGCACCTCAGAGTCGGAGATGTCAATGAAATCACAACCCGTGGAAGATCGCTGTAGGTTCGCAGTAAATAATCAATAGATCGACATTCAACAGCGTATCCATCGTGGTAGGGCAAGAAGCCCGCAATGGCGAGTTCAATAGTAAAGAGCCACACGCAACGCTGGCAAACTCCAAGATTCTTCGGCTTGCTGAATCGTTGTATCGCATGCAAATGGTTTCCTTAAAACGCCCGAGAAATGATGGAAAATAGCACCGTGTATGTTGTAAGCCCCCGCTCATGCATTCTTCGTGCCTCGGATTACTTCGCCTTTCACCTTAGACCAGTCGATCTCGCTGTCCATTTTCTCGTCTATTTCACCACACACCACGACATTGTCACCGCGGATCAGGTACAGCCCATGCTCAATTTCTGTGGAGGGCTCCTCGTCGTCTGGGGTGCGGATAATGCGTTCAACAGTATTGGCCAGGACAAGATTGGTCGCTTGATCGGTTGACAGGAGATCGCCGATGAGCGTGCGGCCGTCAACGGTGAGGATCAGGACTTTTTCTGTTCGATCGAGATTGGTCAGCAGTTAACTTCTATAGGAGATGGCGTACGTAGGCACTCCAGCTAATGCAGAACTCACTATTAACGTAAAAGTGGAGAGACATGTTGGATGGGAGAGCGGTTCAAAAAGGTGCAAGGGTATCTCAAGTTTGCGGTTGATCGGGTCTAGGTAGATGCACCGCTGAAAGATGTATCTCGAGCCCGCTGATGTTCCTGTCGCTGGGCCTGGAGTAGCTCTCTTGCTTTGCGTGGGCTGGAGGAGGTTCGTGGGATCTTGTCACTTCGCGCAAAAAGTGCTCGTCGAGGTGAAGAGCCGGATTGGTCGCGGTTGGTTGTAGCGCGACAATTTTGACTTGCCGATGATCCTCAAGCTCGCGGACGGAAGATTCAATCTGCAGGAGCTCCGTTTAAAGCTCGAGGCCAATCAAATGGGAGTTGATGATAATGGCGCAGAGCGGGTCTGTACTGTTGGTCGAATCTCAAGTAAGATTGCCAGAATCCTGGATGATAACAATAAAATTCTGGAAACACGAGAGTCGATGACCTCGACTGATAGCAAAGAGATTGGTGGCAGCACGTGTCTTGGGGCTTCATGGTTGTTTTCCAGGATTGTCGATTGACATCCCCGATTCAATCACGTGCAGAAGCTTGTAGGAGAGTGGATACCACAACATTTTATACTGTTTTATGAGAGATCAACGCGTTTAAGGTGGAAAACATGGGCTTTGTTGTACAACTGAGCTACACAATGAGCTACATAGATGACTCTAGTGTAAAAGGATTTATGTATAGCAATTCACTATGTGTGCACGATATCGCCCGCAATTTCCCATGCACTCCAATCAGCCTCGCAAAGCACTCAGATCCAAAGGAACACTGCTGCCCCGTCCAGCGCGGTATCGGCGGTCTCCACCGATAAAGTGCCGTGGTTTGGGGAGTAGCCCTTCAGTTTGGAATTTGAATCGCGGGTCTTCTATTCGGACTGGGCCATGTCCTTGTGTTGAAGGACTTTGTGCGCCTACTGCAGGCGATCCACCATTGGAAAGTGTATACGCGCTAGGGTCCAGCGATGCAAATGGTTCGTGGGAGACAGGGCGAGAGGAAGCAGGGGATGGTCGGGATGGCGGCTCGCTTGGCGGAGCTGCAGGAAGTGAAATTGGAGGCGGTGGGGGTGGAGCACCTGGGGCAGCTGATGGGGGCGGTGGGGGAGGTGCCGAGGGCGAAGAATGTCCCAGGGCAGAACGTGCAGCCTGCGCAGCAATCGAGGGGGCTATTGAGGGGGGAGGAGGGGGTGTCGATCTAGAAGCAGCCGGCGGGGGAGGAGGTGCCCGACCCGCAGGGGCTGATGGGGGTGGTGGCGGAGGTCCGGACGGTTTTCTCGATGTAGGAGGTGGTGGAAGCTTGCCTGGTGCTGGAGGTGGAGGAGGCGCGCGTGGAGGCGGCGCTTCAGGGGCCCTTGTAGCTGGCGCTGAAACTGTAGATGACGATCGTGAAGCAGGCCTTGGGGGAGGCTTCTTCAAGCCGGCAATCAAAGGATTGATCGGTGGCGCAGGCGGTACATCGGTCGATGATGGACGGAGAGGCGGTCTGACTCCAGGAGGCCGGGGAGCTGTTGGAGGCTTGGGGGCTGGCGCAGCAGGTGGTCGATGTGCCCCTTCGGAATCGGAGATATATGGCGAGTCACGATTGGCACCTGTATCGATACCTCCACGACTCCGTAACTTGGGCATTCCACCAGCAAATAAACCTCCTAATTGAGGTGGCGTTGGACTGGATGCACCATCTGTCCCCGAAACCCCTTCGCTGTTACTTCGTAATCGATTCGCGGCTGGACCGGATGGTACGGGCGGTGCAAGCCCGCTTGGAGGCGGCCTTGCGCCAGGAACAGGTGGCGCACCTGCGACTGGGGGAGCTGCTGAGACGCCTCCTGAGCTGCCGATTACAGGGGCTGATCGATCATTGGTAACAGCCTTCCTCAGCCTGGCGCCCTTGTGAATATCAGAAAGAAGTGCGCCCTATCTATAGGTTAGCTGCCAAGTTCCTTAAGCGACAAGCTGCTTGCGGTAATGAAACTGAAGCACCCAGTTTACCTACCCGGTCTTTAGTCTGTGCTTTGGGAGGCCTGCCTGGGAGGCCACCTGGAGGGGGCGGCGGGGGAGGACCGCCCAAACCTCCCGGCGGCGGCGGTGGCGGCGGGGGAGGAGGAGGTGGCATAGTTGGGGATCAGATAATGAGAATATCAGATAGACAGTTGCATATAATTTAGAAAATAATCAGGTCAGGAAGATGTGTTCCTGGAATAGGAGGAACATGACAGAGAAGTAAGAAGACGTCAGGGTGCGAGTACGGGGAAGTGGACAGCGTCGGGGCGAAGTCTCCGCCTGGACTCTCCCATCGAAAAAAATACGGCTGCCTCACAACGTCACTCATCACCACAGCCATGAAAAGAGTTGTTCTAACAGCCAATAAGGGCTCCCGGCCACAGGGCTCGATCTGTCAATTATGTCAGTTCTCGACTTCAACGCCCCGTCGTGGCCTCCCTATAGCGCGTCTCCCCACCGCTCGCGCAAGTCGAGCTGCGACCTCCAATCTCCGTTTACAACCCTCGAATCGAACCGATGAATTGGTATTAGGCTCTCCTTCGCTTATTTTCCGTCGATATGCTTCCGCTGCAACCACTAGGATAAGCCCAGAGGATGCAATCAAAGAGATTGCGCAGGATGCATTGGCCGTACATCAATCAAACGCGGCGGCCTCCAACGAGGTGGTGATAGAATTGCTACAAAGATGCCAGCTGGTCGCCAAATCCCTTGTCTTACAGGAACGGGATCAAAGCGAGGGATCATCAAAGGGTGAGGGCAACGCGGTCTCTTCTTTACTAGACCTGGAGGAGAAGCAACCTGCGCCGAAGAACAAAGGCAAACCACACTCCTTACAACATCCGGACCCCCGACTGGCAAATTCAGTCGCAAAAATCGCCGTTGACCTCTTAAAGGACGAGAAGGTCTTCATTTCGCCCGAAGCTCTGGCCTCCTGCACCGAGACCCTGACTCTACTGCGACGGGCCGAGCACTTCCCCGAGCTCTTCCACCTTTATGCCTACAAGCCTGTCCCAGAAGAGGGTAGCTCTCCAGTGAAGTTGCTGAAAGCCAATCCCAAGAGTGTCAACAGCGCCGTTCCGGCGGAGCTGGCTAACATGGCTCTTGGGGTTGCCATTGCACAGAAAAACCTCTCGCTCGTGCTGGCCATCATCGACAATACTTTCTGCGCCCCCGCCTTCCACCGTGCGAAGATCTTCAAGAAAGCCGGCGTCCCGCTGGCTGGCCTTGCGGCTGCCCCGGCTGCTTGCTATGCTCTCGCATCGTGGGCCGCAACATTCCAGAACACAATGGATCCGAGCGTAGCGACTGGGATTGCGTTTGCCGCTTCACTGGCTTACGTTGGCGGTGCATCCTCCATGGGATTTTTGGCTATTACCACGGCTAACGATCAGATGGAGCGTGTGGTCTGGATTCCTGGTATCCCACTGCGGCAACGGTGGTTGCGCGAGGAAGAGCGCGCTGCTATGGATAGAGTTGCTGTTGCATGGGGTTTTAAGGATCCTTATATGAGAGGCGAGGAAGTTGGTGAAGAGTGGGAAAGTCTTCGTGAGTTCATTGGCATGCGGGGCATGGTTCTGGATAAGACCGAATTGATGGAAGGCATGGAGTAACTAGATTCACTGCATGTGTATCATAGGAGTCTCTTGTTTCACACATAATGAGCAATGTAACATACAAATCTAAGCTTTATCTACAGCTACATTATACCGGTAAAATTACGATAATAGAATAGCAGATTGAGACCGATCATGAGCTTCATTTTTTTTAAAGTCGTGAGACTATGAGATAAACCCAATACTCAGGCCCAAACTAGAAAACACCGGCGCAGTTAAGCGACAGATAATCTAGTAGACACGGTGGGGAGGAGACATGGAAGCCTTGATGACAAGACTGCCAACGTTCTGCCAGCCCTTCTTGAGGAGGGAGACGAGGTAGTTGATGGCGAGCATGAGGTTGGCAACGAGGGCCTCCTTCTCCATCTCGACGTTGCCAATGGCAACACCGAGGCACAGAACCTTCTTGAGCTGGAACTTGATGGTGGAGCGGACGTCGGTGACCTTGACGGCCATGTCCTCAGCGGCGGAGACGGGGGTAGGGAACTTGCCGGCCTTGGACAGACCGGGACCGAGGAGACGGGGAATCTGCTTGATCAGACCCTCGGAAGCAAGGAAGGCATCGTACTTGCGAGCAAGCTTCTTGATGAGCTTCTTGTTCTTGTTGAGCTTCTTGAGATCGTCAACGGACATGGCATCGATACCGTGGTGCTTGGCACGGTCAAGATCGTGCTGATCACCAAGAACACTATAGATTCCGTCCGTTAGCTTCTATGTTCATTTGAGGTGTATACATCCTTCGCCGCCGCGCATCGTGGGATGTGAAAGATTGCCCCGCGGGACGAGTTGTCGATGGGAAACGCACCAGATGGCCATGTTGGGGCGGGGAACGCTGGGCAGCTTGATGGTGCCAGAGAAACGCTTATCACGCTGGGGATCGTAGTTCTTCAGGCCGATCTGAAGCTCAACGGTCTCGTTGAAGTTACGCTTCTTCTCATTGAGAGAGTAGTTGAGAAGGTTCTCGACATTCTGGCGCACTCCGGCTGTAATGAGAAGAGCAGTTAGTGGCAAGATCAAGTAGAGAATATCATGGAGTGAATCGTACCGACTGTGATCTTGGACATGATTGCTACAGTCTTCCAAAAGAAGTTAAAATTCTGTTGGTATGGCTCTGCGCTGAATGCTTGAGAAAAGAAATTGTCGAGGGCCGTGAATTTCTCCGCTTGTGGGTGTGGACTTGCGCTAGTCTATATTAGGATTAGCGGTGCCCTAGATTTTTGTTTGCTGACTCATCGCGCAGCCTGAGGCATGAATACGAACCGATTTCCCCAACCTCGGCAAGACCTACGCTGTATGACGGCCACGGATACTTCACTCAATGCAATTCCACTCGCTCATACTCCGTACAAATTATCGCATTAGCAAGCGTCGACTCGGCTTGTATAAAAAATAATATCGAGAATCCTAATCCCTCTTCGTATTGCTCGGTCAGGTCAACATTGCTGCTGTTTCAAGTAACCGCCGGCCTCGCCTAGTACGCTTTTCCTGTTACTGCATTTGGCAAAACTTCCAATATTAGACCAGGTGAGGACTAGTTAGTGCAAATAATGGAACATCGATCTTGCTTGTCAATAATATGTCGGGCACACACGAAACAAAAGTATACGAAGAGGTCTGGACGGATACTAAATTGGTGATTCCCCCGGAGAATTGGGATTAAAGTGATAAATGCCCAGATAAGAAGCACACAGACTTATATTTCAAAGCTCAAAGCTATATACGATTCATGTAGGTACGTCCATTGTATTTTATAGAACGTACGGCATACTCAGGTAGAAGCATCGACCGGGTCGCCCCGCCACATGGCCGACCCGCTTATATCGATCGATCATTACTTTATTATTTATCCTATTTCATTGTTCAAGAAAGTATCTCGTTATTTGATAATACTTTGTGCAGCGATAGTAGTTAGGACTTGGATCGGATATGTTTATAAATACCTTGTTTTCGCATATCCCCGAAGATCGATCTAGATCAACCACAAGCACGAGTCCGTATTAAGCAGGCACAAAGCAGTCCAGCTGAGTAGATACATCATTTTCACAGGCTGTGGTACCTGGTATTAATTATCAAATACGTATACACCACCTAAAAGTATCTTCAAGACTCCTCGTCATTAGCATCTTCTGACCACAAACAATATATATCGAATAGTCCAGATGACCGACCAACACGCAAGCTTTTGCTAAGCAGACGGGTATATAATTACAGCAACCTACAAAACGAGCAAATAGGAAGCTAGATTATCTATTTTAGGACAGTTCTCAACAGGTGAAACAAACTTGGCATGGTCTGCGGGGGCTGCATCTGATCGCAGCGCTTAAACGTGACCGGCGGCAGTGTCAGCCTCAGGACTGGTCACCCAACCCCCCTTTGGCGTCGAGGGCTATTGCCTTGTGTTTCGATTTATTTAGACATCCACAGTGAGATTAGAATACTTAAACTTGACTTTCTGCTTATTCTTTTTGTGATATACTCCAGGTTTGCATTCTATGGTCAAGGTTGTTTACACCTGGGCATGACTCTTGGCTTGACTTAATCCGAGATACCCCCTCCTGACTTGGCAGCTGATCTTTCGACTATTGGGCTACTGGCTATTGATTTTTTTTTTTTTGGTTTATTTGCAAACCACTTTGTTTGGCTTTATCATGTCTTCTACAACAGATTCGCGCGAGTCAACTGCACCGCAGGATTACTACTCAAGTCTTGACGATGAGGGCTTGCTTGTGGAAAAGTTCAAGAACATCGACGATAAGACGCAGTTTTACCTTGCTATGCGCCGTCTACAGGATCCTCTTACTCGGAATTTCGTGCTCGATTTCGGGAACGAAGAGGCATGGTGTGCGTCTGATCTGAACACTAACGAACTGAAACGGTTGCTGAGCAAGCCAGTAAGTCTTTTTCGAAAATTAGACTTGAGTCTATGCAACAGTCAAGGGCTGACATGATACAGAGAGACAAGTGCTTCGGTACACGGTGGATGTAAGAATGAAGTCCTCAAATGTAGACGAGTATATACTGACATTGCGATCCCAGCAATATATGGGCACCAGAGGAGCAGAAGGAAAGCATAAGGGTATGTTTAATTTCATTCGCATATGAGCAGTAATGACTGACCATAGGGTTCTAGGCGATTACCAAATACTATGGTGTGTCAGAACGGCTACAGGGGATGATGTGCACAGAGCCAGTGGATCCTGCACCCAAAACTACACCTGTACCAAACAAAAGGACTTCGAAATCGCCTATTATTGAGCCGTCGTTCGAGCACGAAGTGGATGACCCGGAGAATGCACTCAAGCATCTCGCCGATCCAGATAAATCGCGCGAGTCGGCGTCATTCTCGAATCTCACCTTCGCACAAGTCACGAATCAAATCTGGCACTTCTCTTCTGTGGATCATGGTCCTCGCTGTAAGTACATCACACCAAATCTGAGTGAGCATAAACATTAAGAATCTGTCAGACACATGTATCGGCTATAATACGTTGTATGTGATTCCCACACTATCACAACCGAATGGCCAAGATCTCCCGGATGGAAAACGGCTTTGGACCTGGCTGATCCAGTGCGATGATGGTGAGCATCCCATTTCTCGGACCTCGAGTGCAGCCGCTAACTTATTTGTAGGCACAATAATCTCAATCCAAGAGAACCCGTTCCCGAGACGGAAGGCAGTGCCAATAGATGAAGCCAAGCCAGTCCTCGACATCGTGCGCAGGAACATCCGCTTTATTTTCGCTGGCGTTTCGAGACAGCACTTTGCCATGTCCGAGAGCGAGTCACTGATTACCATCCGAGTGCGACATTTTAGTGACCTCGGACCGGATCAAGCCAATATCAAGCAGAAGGATGGACCGAGTTTGCTCTTCTACTACATCTTCGATGACTGGGTGTCAAGTTATGGACTTATCGCAAAGCGAGAACACAAATATGGTGTTGCTTTGGAGAAATTGGTTAGTATTGTCGGGAAAGCACGATTGTGTTAATGTGTTCTGATGGCTAACTCCGCGCAGAGAGGGCAAATGCTCGATCGTCCGGTTGTGGATTTGGTAAACGAATTGCACTGGCTAGGCCGACGACTCGCAGTTCTCAAACGATTGTACCGGAGCTATGAGCTTATCATGCGACGACTCTTGCAACGGCAACGTATGCTCCGCGACGAAGCGCGTTCGTCTCAACCAGCCCCGGTTTCGTATGGAGCCACCTTTAGCGACATGGAGTATGTGGATATGCGCCAGTCGAGTGTCGTGAGCGATTTCACTTTCCATGACACAACTGATAAATCGGTCGGGGTGCAGCTGAGCTCGACGGCCGTGGCGCGTTTCGAACGGTTGGTTGATCGGATCAATCTGTACTGTTTGAGCGAGATTGAGAACTGTCTGAATGAGAAAGAGTCGTTGACGTTCCTGGTGAGTATCTTCCCGCGCTTTATTCCGAGAACTCTGCTGACGTGGCCTAGAATTTCAACTTGATTGCGCTCAAAGACTCGCAGGCTGTTGAAAAGCTCACACGGATCACTATCCTGCTGGCTAAGGCGACCATTTTGTTCCTGCCGGTTAGCTTGATGAGTGCATACTTTTCGACGGAACTCGTTGGGGTCAAGAACGGGTACACCAAGGCGGATTACTGGGTCAGTTTCGTGGTGATCTTCCTTGTAACCATCTTGCTCTTGACCGTTTTCGGTTACGCCAGCGATACCGTCGAGGGCAGGACGATCTATCGGTCCATGATACGAACATTCTTCCGACGGTCTCGCCAGAGAATGTCGCGACGATCAGAAGAATAAGAGAAATTGGCTATGACGGCATGAAGAACCGAGAGATGTGGTGGAAGAAATTACGCAGGCACGATAAGTGTGGGAAGGTCGGGCCTATCACTCGGCCTATCAGACACAGTGGGACCTTTTCCTGAGGGTCTTAGCCCGGGGGAACTCCCTTTGGTATTTCATTTACGGGGCCAACACGGTGTCCTCTTTCTAGGAAAATATACCTTCCCGAATCTATAGCTAGTTATAGGCAGAACTATTAGAGTCATACCATATATAGTCGACCGAATCTAAATCATAAGTTGCCTTCTTCATATATCTCTCAGCCTCATTTTCTCGACGTTGCGTGCTCTCCAGCAAAACGGGTGACAAAGACTACGCCCACCGCCGTCGGTCTGCGTATTTCCACGTATTCAAAACAAAAACGAAACAAATTTCACCCTTCTGACTTCTCTTCGATAATTCCCCTGAACTTGCATCTCTTGAGACTCCTTAAACAACATTTATACTCTTTTCTGCCGGTAAGTGGTTGATCCGGTTTTGACTGGCTCGTGCCCAGACTTACCCCCCTTCCCCCCTGGATCTCTGACCGACAAGTCCACAACACGTTTTCCAACCCCTCCGCTTCTCCCCTTTCAACCACATCCCTCGATATATCTCTGACCTATCCACTCCTCCCAGGATCCGAGGGTTTTCTCGCTACCGACAATATGGGTATTACTTTCTCGCGGTTGTTCGACCGACTATGGGGCCGCAAGGAGATGCGCATCCTGATGGTCGGTCTTGACGCCGCTGGTAAGACCACCATCCTGTACAAGCTCAAGCTCGGTGAAATCGTCACCACCATTCCCACGATTGGTTAGTCCGCCCCTCGACCCATCTATCGGCGACACCGTGATGCGCTCTTCGCAATTTATAAGCCGTATAAGAGACATTCAAAACCCCCCGGAAACTGATGCCTAGTACAGGATTCAACGTCGAGACGGTCGAATACAAGAACATTCAGTTCACTGTGTGGGATGTCGGTGGTCAAGATAAGATTCGTCCTCTGTGGCGCCACTACTTCCAGAATACCCAGGGTATTATTTTCGTGGTTGACAGCAACGATCGCGATCGTGTTGTTGAGGCCCGTGAGGAGTTGCAGCGCATGTTGAACGAGGACGAGCTCCGTGATGCTCTCCTCCTGGTGTTCGCCAACAAGCAGGATTTGCCGGTAAGGATTTGGATTGTTGGAGGATGTTTGCTAGATGAAATGGCATGCTCACCTCCCCCGCTTTTTTCTAGAACGCTATGAGCCCCGCCGAGATCACGCAGCAGCTTGGTCTTCAGAGCCTTACTCGCCGTGCTTGGGTAAGTGACATCCTTGATGTCGGTGTTATCTAGAAATTCACTAACCGTCCTAGTTCATCCAATCCACCTGCGCCACCACTGGTGACGGTCTGTACGAGGGTCTGGAGTGGCTCGCTGATGCGCTCCGGAAAACCAACCGCGATTAAGGTCTATAATGCGAATTCGAATCGGACGTGTAGCTGGGTGAAGGAGAATACCGATATCTGCGAATGATGGATTGATGATGACGATGGCGGGGAGTTCTTTGGCCATACATGACATTGATCTCTGCAAGGAAAGGTTCTGCAACTGGTTCGCTACTTCTTTTGATGTTCTCTCTTCAAACGGCTCTTTTTCCTCTACGCTATGCTATTAGCCTCATTTGTTTTTCTTCTCTCCGGCGTCGCCACTCCAAAATTACTTCTCTGCCTTGGAACCCCCAGAGATCTGTATAAGTTCTCAAATTGTAAAATCTCAGAATCTCGATTGGGCAAGGAGAGTGAGAGAGAACACAAGAGGAACAAATGAGCAAATTTCGAAGTTTCATCTGCTTTCTGCTTTCTTATCTTGGCTTGAGGCCTGTAGGGCTCAGTCGGACTGAGTAAATTTCAGTCCGGGCTCAGGTACCATCACGTGATGGATTAACAAGGGTCTGACTGTCATTCCAATGTTGTTTTTGTTCAATTCTTATAATAAAGTATGGTAAAGAAGTTTCTACTTTGCTTATGTCTAGCCATGGACTTTAAGATTATGTGGGACAAAATATACATCAGTAGGATCCACATAATTAGGGCTAATGTGGACATATGGAGTCCCCGGATCTATAGGACAAAATGCGTATAACTGCGTGAACGAATGCTTTAAACATACACAGCTCTGACTGCCAAAGACATGTCACGAACGCTCAGTGTCTGCAGGTTCCTGGTATGGCCAGAGTTTGGTGAACAACTCTTTCTCTTCGTCATCTTTAGCTAGTCCGATGAAGATATCTTTGAATTTCCGGCTATTCTTCTGGGCTGTATCATAGTCTTTGGGCAGGACCATGCCATCCACCGGGAGCACAGATTCATCTCGAAATATTGTCAGCAACTTCCCGACACCATTTATATTCTCCTCTTCCTTGGAGTGAAGTTCGATATCCTGATTGGTGAAATCGATCGGACATGCTACACCCGGGACGAGTTCTTCCCACTGAGCGAAGAGCAACATGAGTGATTCGCGAAGAAAAAATAGATCGCGATTTTCCCACACTCCTGTAACCAGCCAAACTGGTTTTCGGATGATAGGGATATTTTTATTTTGGGGGACAGACCAGTAACGAGGCGATAGTCTGTACACCTTGGCCAGGTAGTATTTGTGAAGTATCTGACTCTCTAGATCGTCGTCGATCTTGCGTTGTTCTTCTGCACCTAGGCTGTCAAAGTCTTTCGGTCTTTCGGCCACGGCCCAGCCTTCTTGAAGAGGCCCACGGTGGGCACACATCCTTGGGACATCGGCATGATAGAATAACGGTGCAGCACACGCCGATTGCCAATCCACGATACGTGTGATTTGAAGGGTCTCTGGATCGACGAAGATGTTATCCAGATGAAGATCGGGGTGCATTAGAACGTTGTTGGATGCTGCTTCGTTGGTAGATTGAGGAATAAGATAGGGAGCAACTTTCATATATTTGGTCAAAAGAGCAAGACCGTCCTCGGGATGTTCCTGGGTTTTGAGCGACCGATAGTAGTTCATCCGAGGAATTGCATGTGACTTGATATATGAAATCTCGTTGCGTCCCAATGCGCGAGTGTAGTCGCTGGAATCCTTCCCTATATTTAGAAAGACAATTAGAAGCTTTACACTAGCCTTTCGATTCTCTGACTTACAGGGACCACGATCCAAATTCATGCCACTCCTTACCCCGTTCCACAATTCGCTGGTAGTGAGAGGTCCCATGGCAAAAATATCAGGGATGCTGGTCGTAGCAGACTGAATGTTGGCTTCTTTAGGTTCCTCGCCTAGGGAGCGAAGATCGTCCTTGAGGTAAATACAGCCGTGCATATCGAAAGTCACACCGGTTAAAGTGTTCTGAATGTCAATCACCTGGATGATCAATTGGAGCTTTGATTCTCGAGGCCATAGATTCCAAACAGAGCCTAGACGAACACCGGGCGCTTTTTCTTCAATGATATACTCGGCCCCAACATGATTATTTGCATCAAAGGACCATGCTAGAACTCGGGGAACAGGGAGCTTCAAGACGTCGGAAAGCTAGATGAATTGAATTGTAAGATTGGATATAGCAAAGATGATTGGCAGTCTTACTTACTAATTTATGTGTGGCGACCTCGGAAGCAATTGTGAAACGAGCAGCCCCGGCGTTGGGATTTGGGAGCTTTGCGAAAACCTCACAACCGTTATTCATTGTCAAAATAAATGCCTTGTTATGTAGGCCTTCTGCACATTTTGTGACTTTGGTACCTAATGAATATTAGCATATTAGTATATTGCAAGTTCCTAAGGATAGCAACGCACAAGATTGAGCTCCCTCGCAAACACTGAGGGCAACTTGAACAAGTTGCTGTAGGTCAAACTCCACGTAACGTTTAGAGAGTTCTTTTTCTTCGTTAAATCTTGAAATTCGAGCCAAGTTAAAAATCATTTTCCAAAAGAAAATGAACTGCGTAGCTTACAGCCACCGGTGTCTGGTGTATCGGTGCAGATCTTCCTCGGAAATCTTCTCATCTGAAAGAAAAATAATCAACAACTCAGCCCAGATCACGGTGTATTTTGAATATGATTACCTTGACCATTCTGTGTCTCAGCATAGAGCTCAGGAGAGCAGTGTCGTCTGCCTAGGCGAGACGTGGTGAAGAAGCTCATATTCTGAGGTCGGGAGCAAGGAAAGGCACGTGCTCGTACACGTGTATTACTTTTCCAATTGATCCAACGAATTCTAGAAATAATTCTCATTGTCATCTTGTAGAATAGCCCCGGCGAGTGTCATATCAAGGTGCGATGAGGACTTGGAAGGGGGTTAAATTTGAGCACGTGCTGACATACCCAGTGAGCCTCATACAAATCCGATATACCAAACCTTGGAAGGTTACGGAGACTCACAACCTTATTTTGACTGTGCGAGGTAGTTCTTTCCATTTGTTTCGCGTGCCTTCCAAATTTCGATTCCTACTTTCTATCGCATGCAGATCTATTCAATAAATGGAATTACCCACTTCGTCACGGCCAAGGAACCACGTTTGCTCGTGCTCTATGCGGAGTCGAGACCTGTTTTACCGTGGCCAAAACCTTCTTACAGACACTTCGGCTGTCCTACGTAGTTGGCAAGAGTTTGTGCAACATGCCAAGCTGCAGAATTTATGATCGACCACTCGCGCATACGTGGCCAGCGAGCAAATTATCCTCGAAGCCCACCGGATTCTGAGCCGAAACTACCGAGTATACTGGCGTCTATCGATCACACGAAGCTAGTGCGGGCCTACATACATTTCCTCATCCCTCTAGTTCCATACAAAATGCAGGGTAAGTTCTACGAACTCAAGTGGGACCTAAAAAAGCCGTAACAAATGGGACTATTGATCCCATGGCCTTAGCTTCGACGCATACGTATATTTTCGTGGACATTCATCTGCTTACTGGCAACAAGCTATGCAGAGAACTATGTCCTAGCTCATGGGAAGAAGTATGGCCGCGTTGACTAGTGCTGTGGTTCAATGAAGTCTAGGGCTGGTCATGGGTTGACCATGGAGGTTTAAGTATTTTGCAGGATGTTACGCATCAAAGAGCTCTAGCACTGGAGTATAGAGCTATAGATATGTTCAATTTCATCAATTACACAAGAGTCGTCGCCGGTGTCTTTTCGGTAGTCTTCACAGATATTGTTTTTTGCCCAAATCCAGCTAGGTAAGTATATGCGTACAAGACCCATAAAAAGGCCCATTAAATAGTAAATACACCTAGAAACCAAAATAGATTTAAAAGAAACAAGACGCAATCTCCAGGGCTGATCCGCTCGGGCTTGGACCAGTCCATTTTGAGGACACAACTGCGTAATCCCTCATTTCTTGGACAGCGCCAACAGTCTTGGCACTTTTAACTGCAGAAATTACCGACTTGGGCCCTTGGGGCTGTTTATCTTCTGTTTCGCATTTGAATATCGTCTAGTTCTAGGCAGTTTCGTCTGTTTTTTACTGTTTCACTGTTTTCACCTCCTTTTAGCTCTTTTCCCTCTTAAGAGCGACTCCGGACCAAGCCCCATTGCCTGGCCGACGATCAACAACAACACAGCTCATCGCGTGCCTCTCCCTCGGTCCAACAACCACCCCTGATTTGGGCAATATTGAACAGATTTTTCTATCGTTACACTTGTTAGATAGATGGGCTGGTGATCGTGTGATTTTGGACAATTAACTACCTCACTCATTCAATGTTGATATATTGTCTGGCATCATGACCGTTCAGGCGAGGAGGGCCTCCGCAGCCTACAAGGCCCCATCACCATATAATTCACGAGATACAGACATCGAAAAACAACCCACCACTGGGCGCCACACCTATCACCACCACCAAAGCGATGACCCCGATACTGAAGACGAGTTGCTGGACGATAACAACGTCGCGGAATCCTACCCGCCGCCCGTCGTAGCTGGCGGCAGTCTTCGCCGCCCCCAAGCTAGCGTTGGCTTTCGCGTACCCCAGCGGATCATGCGCTGGCTTTGCTTCGCTCTTTTCGCCGCCCTCGTCGTCTTCATCCTCACCCTTTTCCGCTTTACCATCTCCTCCTCCGTTTCACAAGTCGCCGTCGACCTGCCCGCGGTCGGCGCCCCGAAGCCGCCATTATGGGAGACATTCCCGTTCCTCAATCGCTATGAGGGCGGTATATCTTCCTTGGTTCCGCGCTCTGAAAATATCCCCGAGTACCCTGGCGATGGCTCCGAGGATCTGGGTTCGCGGACGGACAGCGACGAGCAAAAGGCGCAGGTGCAGGAGCAGGACGCCAACAAGGTGACTAAGAGGGATATGAGCCCGAACATGTTGAGTAATGTGTTCAATCCTTATCCTGACTACCAATCGCCGGAATACATAGAAAAACATGGCGAGAAGCGCGAGTGCTTCCTCAATGCGGAAAACACGCTACGGATTCCGTCTATCCAAAGCTACCCTGGAGTTCCAAAGGGCTTCCCAGATCCAGCGATAGGTTCGAGCGAGATATTGGGTATTCGGGACGACATGTGCTTTGATCGATTTGGCCGATTGGGTCCATACGGGTTAGGATACGGGGCTAAGAAAGGCGGCATCGGCGCGGGCATGGAGGGCCACCGTGAGGGTGCCGACCGCGTGTGGGAGGATGTCCCGCCGGTCGATTTCCGACAAGTGGATTGGGCTGCTGCGCAACACCGTTGTCACGCGGCTAATCGCCATCGCTTCAACGAGCTGCCGGAGCCGCGTCTCAACCGCTTCGTTTCTATGCCTGTAGGTATTCCTAAGGTGAACATCCCGCCGCCTTTGGAAGACAGCCGCAATGAACCGCCCAAGGTTGGACCTGAGCGTCTGCCGCGCACTGCAGTGGTTATCCGCACATGGCACGACTTTCACTATACACCAGAGGACATTATGTATATGCGCTCCATCATCTCAGAGCTCTCGCTTCTGTCTGGTGGCGAGTATACTGTTCACTTCTTGGTTCATGTCAAGGATACCCTTTTGCAGATCTGGTCCGATGACGAGACATATCAGCGTGTGCTTGATGAAGCACTACCAGAGGAGTTCCGCGGCATGGGGACTCTCTGGTCCGAGCCACAGATGGCCCTGATGTATGCCGGATTGGAGGAGACCATGACTCGCGGTCTGCCAATCCACGGTGTATACCGCAGCACGTACATGCCAATGCAGTACTTCGCTTTCCAGCATCCTGAGTACGATTACTTCTGGAATTGGGAGATGGATGCGCGTTACACGGGCCATTGGTACCACCTCTTCGACAAGGTCGGCGAATGGGCGAAAAAGCAGCCACGAAAGGGTCTGTGGGAACGCAATGCTCGCTTCTATGTTCCGTCCGTCCACGGCTCCTGGGAAGACTTCCGGCAGATGGTCCGCGTGCAGACCGAAAGCGGTACGAACTCCGCCAACAACATGTGGAGCGCCGTCAAGGGCAATACGCGGAGCACAATGCACCAACAGGGCGACAAGTCCATCTGGGGCCCCGAGCGCCCCGACGAACAGGATATCTTCGAGGTTGAAGGTGAGGGCATCCCGCCCACGAGCATGGATAAGGACCAGTACCAATGGGGCGTGGGTGAGGAGGCCGACCTGGTCGTGTTCAATCCGCTCTACGACCCCGAGGGCACGACCTGGCTGCTGCGCGATGACGTGACAGGCTACAACAAGGAGAATGGCATGCCACCGCGGCGCACCGCAATCATCACCGCGTCGCGCATTTCCCGTAAACTGCTCATCACCATGCACCGCGAATGCAGCCTCAAGCGCCACAGCATGTTCTCGGAGATGTGGCCCGCCACCACCGCACTTCACCACGGCTTCAAGGCTGTCTTTGTCCCGCACGCCGTCTATGTCGACCGCCGCTGGCCGACCCGCTACCTGGATTCAGTGTTCAATGCCGGTCGCAACGGAGCTTCCGGCGGTGCTCGTACGTCTATCTTCGGCGATCGCGAACACAACTTCCGTGGGACGACCTGGTTCTACTCGGCGGGCTTCTCGCCGAACATCTGGCGCCGCTGGCTTGGCCTCCGCGTCGACAATGACGGCGGTGAGCAGCAAGAGCTAGCTAGCGAGGGCCGCATGTGTCTTCCTCCTATGCTATTACATCCCGTCAAAGAAGTCAATATGATCATTGACGACGGAGAGAAAGTAGAGGACCAGTGAAGAAAGAGGGAGTATATATGATTTCTCTCGGAATTGCTGCTGCAATTCGTTTCTTGGGTGTCCCTCACACCTTCCCTTCCTGCCATCTCCAGGATTCATGCACGCTTTGGGGTAGATGCTTATTTGTCTTGCATTGGTTCTCATAATTACTGTATAATGACCCTTCATTCCCCGGTGGCATAGCGTCCCCACGTTTTGGATTCCCGTTTCTCGATTTCGGTGCGAAAAAGGCGTTCGCATGGCCTGGATGGCCGGATGGCCGGATGGCCGGGCTATGGCTCACGATGCATTCTGGATTTTCCCTTGGTGCTTGACCACTTGGTCTAGTCATTAGATGTGCTAGATTGCGTTCTGCATCGGGAGAATTTTGTTTTTGCTTGACCTGGACTGGATATTTCAGAAGGACGAGATGGACTTCTTCCAGCCAGGGCTATTTTGGTTACGAATTGTTTCTTGCACATAATTTATATTTTTGGTTTCATGATTTATTCGAGTAGAACATGGGATGTCGCTAGAGATACAATATGCCTATATACAATGCAATTATAACTTCAACCCATTACTTCTACTGGTCAACCTTGGTCGGCACAAAGCAAATATTACACTCATAAACCCCATCCTCGTCAACCCCATATGTAAGACAAGTCCGACACACCCGATGCCCACACTTGGTGACCAAAATCTCCACTCTCTCCCCGTCCTCAACACAAGCATGACAGAAATGCGTCGGAAACCTAAGCGGCGGATTCTGAACCATACGCCGCTCAATCTCGGAAGCGAGTTCCTTTCCCTTCTCGACGCGCGCGCGGAGAAGCGCGGCTTTTGTGCGCAGTTTGTTCATGGTAGATTTGTTGAAGGGGTTATCGGCTTCTTCTTCTGACGTCGTCGGGCTTGTGTTGGGCTTGTGCAGGGTCGGAAATGGTTCGGGGACGATCAGGGGTCGGAAGCGTTCGCATATGGGTCTGTCTCGCATGCAATTTCGTTCGAGGTGATAGCGGCGGAGGATTTGCCGGTTAAGGAGGATTGTGTAGAATACTATGAACGTTTGCCAGGCGCGCCATTCGGAGACTGGGTCCAAAGGGATGGGGAGGAGGGTTGAGACTTTGCTGGGGGTTGTCTTGAGGCGTTGGGTTTGGGTTTGAGTTGAAGACATGTCGAAGTTGATTATAATATGTATGTTTTTTTTTCTTCTGTAGTTGAGAGGGGTGTTATAGCGAATAGATCGAAGTATTGGCTTCACAAGCCTAGCTTGGGCTCTTTTTCAGAGAGATGGGAGAATGTAGAAAATCCGCCGGCCACGAGACCCGGCATATCAATAGAGATTATATCGATTTATCCACCCTAGGACCAAATATGCCTCTATCTACATAGCACTGATTGGCTATATCATGACTCCTGTGTCTTCTCGTCCAAGCAATTCTAGATTCGGTGCGCATAAAGCATTATGTCCCAGTATACCATGGATGTAGCTGAGCGCGAAACGCGGATTCTTTTTCCCTGGCCTGCGATATCGGCAGACATTAGCGTAGACAGCCGGTTCCTTGAGGTGTAAAACAGGTTGAGTCTAGATGCCGTCAGGTTCAATATTTGCCATTGAAGTGGCGGAAAAATATCAATTGGGAAGTGACGATTGCATTGGTCTAGAACTGTCGAGTCTATGGGTTTGTTGATATTGAACTTGTTTCGCAATATTTTGATTTCTCTTAATCATACCAAAGCGATAAGAGAGTAAAGAGAAGAGAGAAAGGAAGAATTCTAAAGGCAGATGCTGTCTCAACATGAAATGTTTCCAACTCTGTTCCAGAGTCTCCAGTTTTTTTTATCCACTCTGCGATCTCGATGCTTTTCTTCAGCATCACCTCCATCTGCCCGCTCTTGTATGCAGCACAGGTCCATCCTCAGTCTCTTGTGTAGGAATGGGATGTTAACTCCCTATTCTCTGCTCTTCTTACACCCTTATCCTCCAAATTGTCCACCTCGACGCATTCCCAGGATATGACCGAAACCCCCCTGAAATGAAAGGTATACAGATACTCGACCCCAGAACCCGAATCGACACTCTTGGCGGATATCACGTATTCCCCAGGAATAGACAGCTCCTCTTTCCTCTGCCGACAGAGCGGCGTCAACTCCCAGACCTGGACAAGTCGATCCGCTGACAGCCTATCCGCTAAGGCCGACCATATCTCAATTCGGGAAGTGGCAATATCAAATCCCACTTCCGCCAAGCGCATGATGAACCGCACATTGTCTTGCCCAGGATTTTCTCCAGCCGAGCCATGTGTCTCTACACAGACATACTCCCTATCATATGCCGGGCTAGTCGGATACCGCGGGTAAAAGCCTAGAGTCCCAAAAGATGTATGCTTAGAAGACTTCCAGGTCCCATGCAGAGCACGAAAGATAGCCGAGGCTGCAGCCTTCTGTGCTGCCTCGTGGCTAGGGAGAAGAGCGTCGCGCAAAGCACCTAGTGTCCTCTCTGCCTCGCTCTCTGTATCTGGCCTTGGGGTATCGCCATAAAGATACCTTGCAGGAACAGCAGGCCCAGAGCGACCGTCGCCTGCTTGCAGTGCTGAGCGATTAATCTCCAGATCCTTGGCGAACGACTCCATCAATCCGACGTAGTCGCCCATGGGGAACTGACCACGGGCTAGATCCGGGTGTGCCGATCTGAGACTGCGAAGGTTTTGCTTCTGGTCGTCTGTTTCGCAGAGCGCACCCTTGTTCCCCTCACTCCATAATTTACCAAGGAACCTCGCTTGCATCTCCATCACGCCCCAGTACGGGCCGCGGTAGAATCCGACGAATCCGGCATCGGGAATCTCCGAGCGGACGGTGCCTCCCTTGTCGAGAATCAACGGTGAGAAGGGGTCCGTCTTGCAATATTCAAGCGTCGTCAACACTTCATCCGGTAGCAATGATAGTGACTTGTACGGCGTGAACCCGGTGGCCATGACTATCGCCGCCACATTGTCTATCTTCTTGGTCTTCCCGTCGGGCCCTTCATACTGAACTGAAGTTTGTTTAGTATCTGGATCAGAAGTCACGGCAGTCACCCGGCCCATCGATGTCTGAATCGCTCCACACCTGACGAACTCGGCGTAATCATTACCTATGGCGACCCAAGGTGGCTGGGTTCTGGATTCCTCGGCACCATGTGGTGCATCCATGTGCGCGTATTTCTCATAATCACTGCCGAGCAAGGTGTGGAAGTAACTGTTTGTTTTGACTGCTTTTTCTTCTGGGATGGGTCCGAGGATGTAGTCTATTGGACCCGGGGGTCGGCGGCCTAGGTCGTACATGGCCAAGTCTAACGGTAAGAAAGATGGACTCCCATCGGGAGACTCGTGTGGGAGATACGTCGGCAAAGCCCAGAACGGTCTTGAATGTATATGATACACTTTTGTCGCTTGAGTATGTGGAACTCTGTTTGTGGAAAGTGTAGATGAAGATTGGCGAAGAGCCACAGCAGATGCGGCTTCGACGCCTGACATGCTGCCGCCGATGACGACGATCTGGCCATTCACATATTTGGATTCACTAGAGAGCGCCTGCTCTCTTTCATAATGGAGCGAAGAGCTATGGATGATTCGGCCTTGGAATTGCTCTAAGCCTGGTATATTTGGAATATACTGCTGGGAAAAGTATCCAGAGGCGATGATAATCAGGTCAAAATCTTCAGAAGATACCCCATCCAGTAATCCAGGAGTTTCCTCCGCACTATATAGTTAGCATCCAGCTTGAGTACAGCGACACGCGAATAAGTACCAACATACCTCTCCTGAACCCACTGAACATTCCACCTCAAGTCACCTCTACCCTCAATTCTCCGTATAGTTCTTATCACTCTACACCCTAGCCTAAGCACATGGGCTGGAACATACCGCTCTGCATAACAAGCCAGGTATTGTCCAACCTGTCTCGCCTGAGGAAAAATCGGAATATCCGCGTCGAGGATTACCGACTCCCAGGACAGATCTGAAAAAGCGACTGAGAAGCGGCTGAGGTTGGTCCGCATGCGAGGGTCTAGTGTAACCGGGGGGCCATTGATCTGATTGGGAGAGTGATGGTGACTTGACCACAGACCCCCGACTTCGTTCTGGCTCTCGAAGATGATTGGAGAGAATGTCCCGCTCGGAAAATTATGAAGAAGTGTTTTGGCTGTGACTAGGCCTGAGGGGCCGGCGCCTGTGGAATGCGATGTTAGTGTAAGGTCGGGTATACCATCTGGGTATAGAGTTGTATCCGCGGGGTCTCGACTCTTTAGAGTCTGGACTCACCGATTATTGCTACTTTCTTGGGTGACATCTTGGGGTTGGATGTGAGGTTTGCAATGTACAAGATCCCTATGTTTTTTTTTGTCTGATGTGTGCTTTTCAATATAACGTTGGAAGTAACAACTCGGCAGACTCGAGCTGTTGTCGCTAGACTTACCCCGCTTAGATCCACTTGGGAAACAGCTCGGGTTTCTTTCTTTTTTATATAAACCGTTGACATGTAATCATTTGCATGTACGGAGTAATCATTTTGAATACGATGTCGTACATTCGAAGTTGTATAACATCGACAATTAGTAACAAGTCTACAATAGTCAACTAGTTAAGCACAATTCGAACCAGCTTCATGTCGCCACACCCACAATGGGCGTAATTATAACCCCTTAATTCAAATATGTATACATCGATGTACCTTGTACATCTCTTTCAAGTTCCAATACGCCAAAAAGGCGGAGCATAAGGCTCTCGGCGTGCATACCAGCAAATCATGACGTTAACGCCAAGCATAACCCCAGCAACCAGGGTTCGTGAATTCCCTCATGGAGCAACCACGACCGGACAGTTTCCTGGCCCCCCCCAAAAAAATGCAACTTGAGCGCCAGGACTGAATTTCCCATATTGGACGCGTACTGTAGGGTGGCGTAAGAGTTCGACAAAAGGTCGAGAAAAAGACTAGCGGAACTCTATCGTATTCGCATCGCTCGTGCTCATGCTGGTGCTCGTTCCATATCGGTTTGTGTGCAGATGGTACTTTCAGACTCAGGAGACTCGCCGTAGCCATTCAGTAACTTGGATATTGGGCGAGTGTAGATTGGGCTTGTATGCCTCGTCGCATTCTTGTTCGCTGACCAAGGTATCGACATTTCTCTCGGTCAAGGGGACTCTGTGGTGGTTCTTTGTTCGGAGGAGTTCCTTTTCCGCGAAGGAGGATGGCGCCAGCTTTGAGAGTGTGTCTCGGAGGCGTTTGATGCCACTGGGGAAGGATCGCGGTATTTGAGGTGGACCGAATGGGTTGTCGGATCTCCATGGGTAGTCGGAAGTCACGGACTGGACGTGCTTCTTAGGAGACAGTCTTCTCGTCATTGTTTGCGACGTTGGGGGGTTGAGGGAGTTCGCTGTAAATGATTTGAGTTGGAAGGAGTAGGGATTTTGGTCAAGTACGATATAAGCAATTATTATTTCTGGCCTTGTAGCTAATTCCGCGGGACCCGCGGTGTTGCCCCGTTGTAGTATCATCGGATCCCTGGTTGTCTATGCTGGTCATTCATCACGTAGTAGTAGTTCGCTAGTCGCCATACTTCCCCCACAAATGTGTCGTGGGTCATGATCGGCGGATGCAGATCAACTTAGGCTGATCAACTTTGTACTATTGGGGCTCACCGGTTAGTATTTGACACACAAACAATGGCTGTACAATAAATATCTGGCGAACGTACTACGTCATGGAGATGCCGATCAAGGCATAGTTTTGTAGACTGACCCAGGGAAGAGTCGCAGAGATGGCTTTTTCTAACGAATAGGAACTGAATAAATGAATACATAAACCATTAGGGTCATAAGGCGTGGAAAGATAATATAAATCTAGCATGTGAAAGTCAGATCTATACCAGTATACTACTTCATGTTCAATTCTCAATCTCTACTTAATAAGTAAATCGGAAACTGGGATGATCATCCCCAGCATTCTCCAGCTCCTCCCTGGGCCAATGGTAACGATGATCCCTCTTGCCCTGCTCACGCAGCCGATTTTCACGGTATACATAACCAAAGAACACAATACACGCCACACCTCCGATCCATATCATCCCTAGACTAACACCGAACCCAGTTCTGTAAGTCGGAGCCTCAGAGTCGAAGAAGACATTGCTAGCGACCAGACCGCCACAGTTACCAAAGCCGATCTGCATGGCCGAGGCGATAGATTGCTTGTAATGCCCAGCCATGTTGTTACTCACCCAGCCCAACAAGATCGGCTGCGCCATATATCCTCCACCGGTGATCGCGAATATGGCGAAGTATCGGGCAGCGACTGGCACCGACTCCTGACAGATGAGAATAACGTACCCAATTGTGGCGATGACGCATCCCAATATGGTGAACGCGAATCGATGGCGGAGTCGGTCGCTAATGAAGGCTGTAGCTAGTGCGATTGCTGTCGCGACGAGGTAGATGGGAATACTCATCACTTGAGCTCGGACAGATGTCCAGCCGAGCTGTCGGAGGATGGTCGGGGCGAAGAATGATGTTGCATAGCCTGTATTGACGATTCCAAAGTACATAATAGCACTGAAAGCGACTAATTGTTAGTGGAAAGCTGTGTAATATCGGCACTCAAGCTTACCCAAGATAGATCTTCACATCTGAGAATGTCCGCTTGATGGCCGGCTTGTCGAAGCGATCCATTTGCGCTTCGCCGCGGTCGTCCGATAGACGCCGAAGCAGCAAAGCACGTTCTTCTCCATTCAGGAAAGTAGATGTTTCGGGCCAATCGACGATGAGGAATTTGGCTGCAATTCCAGTGAATACTGTAAGTAGACCTTCGATGATGAAGATCCAGCGCCAGCCGCTGTATCCTCCGACTCCATCCATCTGAGCTATTCCATAGGCAAGAAGCTAGGAGAATGGTTTAGTATAGAATCAACTCATCATGTAGGCAATACATACTCCACTGACTGCGCCAGCCAGAATACTTGCGCTGAAGAAAATATTGAATCGCCATTGCAACTCGTGGCGCTTATAATACATAGCAATCAAGTAGATGCAGCCTGAATAACATTAGCACTTGTGTTATCAAGTCAGGGATCGACTATCCAACCTGGCATCAACCCAGCCTCAAACAAGCCCAGCAAGAATCGACATGCAACGAGGCCACCGAAGCTCTTTACTACACCTTGGCATGTTGTAACAACACCTAATATCATTGAAGTCAGTCCCCATCCCTTCACCCTATATCCGTTCAAACATACCCCAACAGAGCATGATCCCGCTCAACCACCAAGACGGCGGTACCTTTTTCAAAAAGAGATTGCTAGGGACCTCGAAAAGGATATAGGGAATGAAGAAGATAAAGAGGGCGATATTGTAATCATGTCCCTCCATCCCCAGATCCTTCTCGAGACCCTGAATCCGCGCGTTACCGATATTGATCCGATCAAGAAAGGCGAGTAGGAATAAAAACATGAGAATGGGAACGACATGGATGTCGAGCTTCCGTAGCAGTCGTTTCTCTGCAGCTGGATCTATGTCCGGCACAGAAACCGCGGACTTGACATCCTCGACCGTCTCCTGGTAAATTTTCTTCTGCTCCATTGTGGATATTTCAGATGGACCTCAAATTGATGCAAGCGGCCACCAGGATGATTCAAAATATGGTGGAGCAAAAGCCCCTTTTATATACGTTTAGTGCCAGTCGCTATACCATCGCATCTGGGGAAATCCGGGGAATCCGGGGCCCCGCACTACGAGCCCGCACCGCGATGTTGTGTTGATTCATTCCGCGTTCTTTGATCGCTGTCGGTATTTGATTCCGCCCCTAGGAATGCCAAGAATACCCGGCTTGGTGTGTAGCTTCGTGCCTGGCATGTTGCCCGCCGGGTACCCTGGTCTATAGTCACCGAGTATGTATTTGATCGCAGGTTTGTTGATGGCTAGGTACTTGCGAACCTATTCACTTGGTCAGAGGGTTATATCTCGAGGTCTTGATATTGCATATATCCAAAGCCATAGTCCAGGAGCGGGGTATACATTTGCAATTTACGATTTGAGGGGGCGTTGAAATATAAAGTTCGTGGCCAGTGAAGCCGACCCTATTTATGATGACGGAATGGAACCGCATCATGCCGCATAGGGGGCTCTTGAATACGATCGCTCGATAGTTGGAATAACCGATATAAATATAGCCGAATATCGAATTCAAATCTAAGCTAAGGTGGCTAGAATTGGGCCTTATCATGCTGACCCTCTCACGAGCCGACATTCTTGCGAATAGTTGGCTCCAATGAGAACACCTGCTTATCTGCTGCAACATCCTTGTAGACTATGTCCCAGCGTTCTTGGAGCTCCCGAGGTGTTTCCCATGCGTTTTCAGGGTCTCGCAGCCAGAGTCGCAACAAATGACGCCTAATGTAGCCATGCCGTTAGCATATCCATACAGCAATAATGTATACGAACGAAAAGAACATACTCTTTACCAGGCTCATCTTTAAATCCATTCCGCGCATGGAAAATGCTAAGATTGTTCACATACTGCACATCACCTTTCTGGAAATCCAGAGTGGCACTGTGCTTTGCCGCCAAGAAGTGCAAAGCGTCGAGCGCCTCGGCTTGCGCTTCGGTGATAGGTGGAATATCCTTCGATCGAGGCTGAGCGAGGAATCCGGTGAAGTATCGTCTTGCGTATTGAATCAAGACCCTCTCGGGAGTAGTTGCAGTGGCTGGTTGGTGGTATAGAAGTGGGCGGAGGCTGTAGGGCCTGGCTGGGTTATTGAAACTGAACAGTGTTAATTTTAAGTATGCTTCCTTGGCGCTTGGCAATCCTTACCCATCTACTGGCCAATCCTGGGACAGAGTGTGAATAAGATCAGGTCTTTCCTTGGCCAGGATGTTATACACATTCCAGCTGCTAGCAAGATAGCTTTCTCCTCCCTCTGCGGCGCGGTTCAGACAGAGGAGTGAGATGATATCGCCAGCGTCAGTGTGGAAAACTTGCTTGTCAGCCGTGTTTGACGGGGCTCCGATAAGCTTCTTGTCGGTCGTGCTAGTGAGGTCTTTGATATGGGATATCACGGGCGAGGTGCCATCCACCAGTCGAGCTTCTTGCTGCCGTCCTCGAATATTGCCGATGTGGGAAGATACACCGGCATAGATGATGATATTGTCTTCCCGGGAGTAATTATCGATGCGCAAACCCCGGAGAACGACGAATCCTCGACCGGTGTGGATCTCCTTCGAAAGGTCTCGAAGAACAGGCCGCAGGGTAGGTAGAGGAAAATTCGACTGATTGATATGTCCCGAGGAAAGACCAAGAGCTGTTAAATCAGCAATGGGAACTTAATACTGTGGTCAAAAGATTACCTACATTTGAAGCTCTTCAAAGCAGCGTCGAGTTCATCCAGTTGATCATCGCTCAACTGATAAACCCAATCATCCCGCTTCTCGACGTCTTTTCCTTCCCAGACTAGTGGCGATATCAGCTTTTGTGGGAAGCCTGCAGGCAAAGTAGACTGCAGGTCCTCAGTCTCCTTTCGTCGACGAGTACGCTCCTTGTACTTTTCATAGTCAGGATGATACTGAATATCGGGCTGGGTGGCCACAGTGATAGTCTGAACAGCGGACATATTTGTTATGCAGAAGAGAAATAACAGATGTCAGATGAAAGATCCTTGAACAGGTTTATCTTTGGTTACTCGGAATGTGGTCACGACATCAACCCCGCAAAGCGCGAGATAAGTCGAACAACACAGGAGAGCCTTCACAGCTAATTACCAACTTCAATCGCGTCAATATTCGCAATTATCCGGAAGTGACATCCAATTTCAGATTCTTATTTTGACCTTTCTGTCTGTCAATATATTATCTTAGGGAGAAATGGGTTCGATTTGGAACATTAATTTGAAACATAATGAATCCGGTGTGGTGTAAAGGTCGGATTATGATTATCTCACCTTAACCAATGTATACAGGATGTCTGATAGTTGCTCATGTCTTTTCAAAGTCGTTGAATCAATATAGAGACTATGAAGCTTGTATTGCGGAAGGGATTGCGGGCCGGAGGCTTGGGACTTGAGGAATGAAGTGAAGAATAAAGCGGTGCTATTACGCCTCTTGCATCTACTAGAATTATGTTGAATCAGGAAGCTGATAGTATATATTTCTCGCCTTCTTCCATTAGATAGTTCATTCACCAAAAACCATGGTAGTAGTAGATCATAATCATCTCTAATTTTATTTGCTCAAATATATATATTAAGCAGAAAGGTAACAGATAGAACGAGATTCATAAATCGCGCTCGGCGCGCTCGCATTAGAGACTGCTCGTAACATTTTCAAACATAAACACCTAATTGATAGCATATACAGAAATTAACCTAGTTCCGAGTATGCTCAACAGCAACAGCATCAGGCTGCTTGCTTTCTTCGTGGCTCATCTGAACCCCCTTCTGGTGTGCCAGCACCTCCTCTCCCCGAGCAACATGGTTAGCACCGCCAAATAGAATATCAATCTCCTCAAGGGGAACCTGCTTGGTCTCCGGAATAAGGAACCAAACGAAGACGGCAAGTAGGAAGTTAATACCGGCAAACATGTAGAAGGCATAGAAGCCCTCGTTGTCGAGGAAAAGAGGGAAGAATTGCTGCACGATGGCGTTGGCGATGTTCTGGGTCTGCGATGCCATACCTACGGCCTGTGCGCGAACGTTCATTGAGAAAATCTCGGACGTCCAGATCCATACTGTTGCGCCCCAAGATGGTTTGTCTGAAAATGATGTTAGTGAAGTTCCGTTTGCGGGGAAATGGTAAGTAGAAGGAACTTACAGAATAAGATGAACAAGAACAGAAGGAACACAATCGATATACCAACAGGCTCTGACTTGGCTCCGTTGGCAAGTTGTGGTGTTTCTGTTTCGACGGCGGAGACAATGATCATGCAGAGACCCATGCCGATACCACCGACAATCAAGAGGAACTTTCTCCCGAATCGATCAACAATCCAGACGGCGTTCAGGGTGAAGAAAATTCCAAAGGTGGCGTTCAGAGCGTTGATCAGAGCAATCTTACTGTCGCTGGTAAACACCTTCTGGTAGATCTTGGTAGAGTATGAGTTGAGTGAGCCTTGTCCGGTGATCTGTTGGCCGGCATTGAGAACCAGAGCTAGACCCATGCGCTTGCGGAGAGACTTGTCTTTCCAGAGAGCCGAGTAATTGCTAGAGATAGCTTCCTTCTCGTATTCGATAGCCTCACGAATCTCCAGCAGCTCTTGCTCGACTTCCTCCTCGGTATCACGAACTCTTCGGAGAGCTTCACGGGCCTTCTCGATGTTGTTTCCTCTCCGGATATACCTAGTAATGGTCAGAATTGCTCGGACAAATCGAAATCACCAAAAGGGACTTACCAACGAGGGCTACCAGGGATAGTCGGCAGGAGGGCAAGGATCAAAATAGGGACTAAAAGCTGGAAAATAACAACCAATCTCCAGTCCCACTCTCCCAGCTGGGAAACATTCTTAGTGCAGGCAAAGTTGATCCAGAAGCAAATGAACGATCCAACAGAGTAGAACATCTGCCAGAAAGTCATGATCTTACCACGGATCTCTGGAGGAGCCAATTCACCAATGTAGATAGGGCCCGCAGCTGCAAAACAAGCTGTCAGTCCACGTCATTGAAACCACATGATCAACAAGACTTACTCAATGCAATACCCTGACCAATACCAATGATACATCTACCCGCAAGGAAACAGACAAGATCGTGATGAGGAGCGAAGGTTTGCATAAAGGTAGCAATAATGACCAAAATACAGCCAATGCCCATTCCAAGCTTGCGGCCAAGAAAGTCTGCACACGGTCCTCCCAGGAAGAAACCACCAAAAATAGCGCCGACCGTGTATGCTGTATTAATTGAGCCGATTGTCGACGCACTTGGGTGGTTCATCCAAGCGAGCCAGTTCTTGGAACCCTGGACTGAGTTGAACACAGATGCATCGTAACCGTAGAGTACCATGCATGATGCTGCAATGCAAGATATGTACCTAGGAAATTAGATTAGGGTATGTTCGGCTGATTATATGACTGTGCACCAACCAATTGTACGCTCTCTTACGGGTCATTGAAAAACCCATTCTGATGATGGTCTGTCTGTTTTAACAATGAGATTTGAGATCTTTACCAGATAGCATCACACTGCAATATGTTATTTTTCAAACAGCGGGCAGTGACAGACGAGCAACTGTTGCTCTTAGTGTGAGAGAACAGTTAAGGAGGAGCTACATTCCAGGGGGTACCTGAGTGGGCGGAGGCTGCAGCTATATAAGAAAGTACAAGAAGCGATCAGGGCACGTTCCGGGGGTAAAAAATACAACCCCAGTCCATGTGAGCAGGTGGATCAGACCATCCCCAGAATCAACAAACCCCGGATGTGCCAAGAGGACTTTTGGCATTTGGATAACGGGTAGCCCTCGGCTACAGGATCGCTGAGTGGTGGGTATCTGGGGTCAATGGCACAAGGGCGACGCATATACCACGCCTAGTCGATTTCTCATTGGCTTTGAGAATTCTCACATGTGCGGGCCGGACCTGGGGTAATGGACATCTGGGGTTCGAGGATATTTTCAAGCTTTTGTTCCGGCGAGATGAGGTTGGGGAGTTTTCCACGAATAGGCGGGCTGAATGACAGTGGCTTAGGAGAAAGTCAAGTCCACCAATAGGGGAAATGGTGAAGGACAGTATATTTAAGGCAAAAAGGGCGCTAAACTAAACAAGTAGGAGATACGGGGTACATAATAAGCGACTGCCCAGGTAGTTAGACTTCTGGGGTTCTTTTAGGCTGGAGATAGGGCTGACTTTATCCTTATAAAGAGACGTGGAGTCAGGGCAACCTTTTCTTATGTTCTGCTGATAATACTTTTTTTGGCATCTCTATTTACAGAGTTTTACTAGAAATAGATTGCTGCATAGTCTTCCAATTAGAGAATAGGCTAAAAATGTGAATCCAAGCTAACAAGGCTCTAATAATAGGCTAAAGACACTCTGGCGAAGGAAACATGATTTGAGTACTCCGTAGAAAGATTCATAGAAGAGCTTTGGGGAAGCTCTACGGAGTAATATATTTTGAATTGCTTTGGTCTTTCGTTTTTATGTTTCTGTAAGAACAGACCAATCTGCCTTCTATGGATAATCACCTAGGAGCTGCGCGCGCATATCTGCATGTATAAAACCCGATCGAACTATCAATGTAACATATTAAAGATATTTCCATTTCCTTCTTTCACTTCTAGAATTAAGTATCAGTCCGAAACATTTGCAATTCCTCTCACTTTCGCCTCTAAGTATACATATCACGTGAGCACGTGATTTTTCACAACGCGATCCGCGACAGCGAAGGTCCCACTGGTATAACAATCTCAAGCTTTATTCTTCTTTGAACATATTTTCTTTTGTCTGAATTTGCTGTGACCTACCTAGATATATGATCCCGGCACTCTACCTAATCCAGCCAGTTCTGTTATTTTGACTACTAGCAATGCCACCCCGCAAATCGAAGAAAAAGCAGACGCGACTTGCCTTTGCTGCTTCAACCGCTTCGCCTTCGGCGGATGCGAGCCCGGAGAGTAGCCGATATGCAACACTTACATATGATCACCCAAGCTTGGGCACATACCGTCCTCCAAAGTCTCTCAACAGCGAGCCGGGGACTTCGCCCGCGAGCAAACGCCCGAAGCTCCCCGCCAAGACGAGGTCTAAGGATAAACCCACAAGTACGGTGATAATCTATATCTTCAATGCTACCAGAAAACTAAGATGCAAAAGACGGACTGTTCGTAGAAAAATCGAGCGATGGATCCTTAGACGCTATCATCTCCGCCTCCCAGAAGAGAAAGCAAGTCGCGCCACCCGACAACCTCGACCCGGTAAATCTCGATGACGCCCAAGATGCGAAGAAATCCCGCTCGCGAAAATCACAACAATCCTTGGAATTTTCAAAGACAGATAGCGAGAGCACAAATGGCTCTGATTCGGAGGAGCTTTCCCGGCCGCGCCGATCACTCAAGCGAAGGGCCCCAAGCTCACCGATTGACTCCAGCGACTCAGATGAGCCAGTGGCCTCTTCGGCCCCCAACCGGCGTAGGTCTACCCGAGGTGGCCATTCTTCAAGCTCGCCTGTTATACTCAGCGGCGATGATTCAAACGAGTCAGTGGCCCCCTCGACCGCCAAGAGGCGCAGGGTAGCAAGGCCAGCCGTAGTTTCAGAAAGTGATGAAGTTGACTCGGACGAACCACTGGCCTCTTCGCCAGTGAAGAGGCTCCGACGTGGAAAAGCGAAAGAAAGTCCCCAAGGCCCCCACACCCCCAGCCACATCTCGCAGCAGGCCAGACTTGATATTGCAGAGGATTTGGAGGACCTTCAGGATTCGGGTAGGAACCAATTAGCGTACGAGGCTCGTTTATTTATGCTGATGCAATCATACGTAGTTGTTAAGAAAAGTCGAACTCGCGGCCGGAATGTCGAATCTGCCCGAGACAAAAGAATGAAGCACCTCGAAGCCTTGCGCCGCAGACGGGCTGGTGTGAAAGATGAGGAAGAGGAACAAGAAGATGAGGAAGGCGACGATGATGAAGAAGAAGAATACGATTCAGATGTACAGGAGATTAAACAACCCTCTGTTCGTAGTCTCTGGCGACATGACGACGGTGACAGCGACATAGAATCAGCCATTGACCCCAACGAGAACCTCGATCGGTACGAAGATGACTTTGTCCTAGAAGACGAGGCGAACGACCTTGGCGTTCCCACCGAGGAGCTCCCCTTCGAGTTCACCCGACATGCATATAAGCAGCCGAAGGAATACTTCCGCGACGTCATCGGCTGGATGGTGCAAAACAAACTGAACCCGGCCTTCCCTCGCTCTGACGACATGTACAAGATGGCATTCATGAAGCTGGAAGATGAAGTCAAGGGTCGTGCCGGTTCACAACTGATCTCCTCGGTTTGGAACCCCAGTTTTGTCTATGCCCTCCAGGCCCGGCCGCACATGGAGGTCGATACCTTCCCTACAGAGGATAACCATCCCTGCGATGCTTGCAGGCGCTCTGGGCATCCCGCGTCTCGAGAGATGAAACTCTACGGGAAGGCGTATTCCCTGCAAACGTTAGAGCCGCTGGAAGATGACAGCGATGAGGATTCCAACGACGACGATGGCAATGATCGGGACCGGGATGGCCATGTCATTCCTCCTGAGAATGTCCGGTATTACCTAGGAAAGTAAGTTCCGTTTGTGAACAGCCATTTAGATCGAGTCTCCCTCTAACCGTCCTATTTGTTTCAACAGGCAATGTAATGCGAGAGCGCAGCTCACCCACACCCTCACTCACTGGCGCTACCATCTCAATGAATGGGTCACCGACTTCCTGGAGCGTACGGGCCACATGGATGACGACGAGATCCTCCGACGAAATGATATGAGCGTCAAGCGCAAAACGCGAAATGCAAATGATGTCCTCGACAGCATGACTGGAAGTGGCGAAGTCGATAAGTTGTGGCGTGACTTCCACATTAATCTCAAGTCTGCCCGCGAGAAAGAGGTATGTTCTTGTCGTGGGGTCTCGGTGCTTGATGCTAATCGGGTCTGTCCTTTATTTAGTCTATTTACGGATGATGAGATGATCATATCCAAGAACAAGTTCGAGGGTCAGTATTTGTCCTCGAATGGCTTTATCATGAATCTCCATGAAGTAAGTCTGAACCTTGTCACTACATAGTTTTGTGGCATCGCTTTTCTTTTCCGAACTTTCTCCGGTGCTCCTTTCACAATGATACCCTTTTTTTTCCTCCTTTGCACATTTCTAGTCAGGCATGTTTAGCTAGCCTACCAAAAACGTACCTGCAGGTTCAGCCGGCTATCTTAAGAGACTATCTTCGCCCAAGAGCCTACTGAGTATCTATATCCAATGCAGTTTTAGGTATTCGTAGGCCTATAAGTATGGCTGGGATTACAGATTGCGAATATAACCAAACCCATCCGTTTTCATTACCTGGACATGCACATGGGGAGAGAAGAAAAAAAAGGTGTATAGGAAAACAGGAAGAAAGATGATTGGGGTTGTACAAATACATGCATGCATAAGCTGCCGGAGCCAAAATGTCAGAAAGCATGAGAGATGCGAGGAGAGAAAAAAGGAAGTATAAAAAAAAACAAGAAGTATAACAAAGATCCGAACAAGTCAAAATAAGACAAGAATCGGGAAACCAACTCTTTCCGAGTGCTTGTAGTCCTATATTTTGAGATCTGGCCAAAATAGGTGATTGGAAATCCCAGGACGTGACAGAATTGTGCCGACGTGCGCCTGGGTATGCTGTCTGCAGGAGACCAAGTGTCGCGGCCGGTAATTGTGTCACTGGATCCTTCGCCAATCTCTCTGCTTTCCGAAGTGGTATTAATTTACAGAGTAGGTTGAGCCGTCTTCTCGGGTTCGGAGCCGGGGATGAGCATCTGCGAGTAGGAATCATAATTAGTATATCGTTTCAAAGACTGAGAGTCCGCTGAAGAGCGCAAAAATGCCATTCGATGATAGTGTTGGGAAAGAGAAGGATTTTTGAAGATTGCCGAGATGCGAATACCCGAGGCAATGTACACGGTGTCAATAGTGCCAATGACAGCACGAATCGGGGATCCAAGATAACTATTGCAATTCCGAAAAATCCGAAGCAAAAACAGAGAAAAACCAGTAAAACACATACCTCGTTAGCTCCCTTGATCATTCCCTGCTCGCGCTCCATCTGGATGTATTGCTCCTCCTCGGCGTAGGCCAAAGCGAATGGCACACCGAGCAGGAAAGCACTGGTGCTGATAATCCAGAGGGCCTTGCCGCTGAACGAAAAGGTGGCCTTGGTGAGGTTTGTGATGGAAGAGACGGTGCTGGAGACGTTGCGGCGGGCGGATGGGGGAATAATGTCTTTCAGAGCGGCGATACGCTCGTAGAGCGACTCAGCCTCGAGCTCGATATCTTCCTCGTCGGAGATCTCGGAGTCTATTTTGCATTGATGTCCATGTTAGATACGGTACTTGATGTTTATTTCCGACCAGTGTTCATTTCTGGGTTTCGAGGTCGCATTGTTGAAGATTGGGATTGGGGACTGGGATGATAGGAGGAACTTCAGGGAGCAGAATATCTTCCCATCAAAGCAATTCCCCATGCAAATGACAATGGCGCGATGCGAGTTTCGTCTGATTATGGGCGTTCGGGATTCGGTACTAACCAGTGTCTGAGTAGTCATCCTCATCATCGGAGACCAAAAGAGCATCGTGCTTGGTGGGAGTGGGCTTATCGGTGAAGTGCTCGTCTTCGACTTCAGTAAGCTTGACCATTTTGGGCGGTTTGGGCGGTTTGGATGAGAATGACGAAGGGGGTCTAGTTAAAGGTGATGGTTGAATGATGGGAGGACGCTCTGGTTTCGCTCCGACTTTTTTGCCGAAAAGCGGCGAGGAGCTTGGACCCACCGACAACGATGTCATTTGTTTTCGATCTTATGAATTACTGTAGTTAGTTACTGATGTTTACATGAATATTCTTTTGGTGGGCTTTTTAGTAGAAAGGTGAGTTGAGAAAGGCCATGATTTTAAAAGAGAGGTGTATTCTACATAGTCGAAATGCTGGCCATAGTCTATAATTACAGATTACCACATGACCCTTATATTCGACGCATCCAAGCGAGTCCAGAGGCATAGAATCATCTATTTACCGTCGGCCAAGCTTCCACCGGGCAATCCGTTCTTGGATCTCCTCCCAGGGGAAGGACCGGAGTTTATAGCCTTCCAACTCGCCCTCCTGCAGCACAACAGTAGGCTTACCAGTGCCCTTACCCTCATTGTGGACATCTCCACCAAAGACCTTGCGAGCTACACGGCGGAGGTCCTCGACGGTGAGGGCCTCGATCTGCTCACACATCTCTCGGACACTGACCTTGCGGCCGTGGACCTGCACCTGGCGTCCAAGATCCTCAAGCTCGACCATGCGAGACTCCAGGTTCATGAGCAGCGAGGAACGGAGCTGGTTCTTCGCACGGTTAACTTCCTGCGCTTGCAGCGAGCTGTAACCAGTGTCCAGAGTCAGGGACTGCAGCTCGCGGCACATGACCTCGACCATCTCCGTGATCCGAGTCGGGCTGCAGGATGCGGAAATTCCGAAGATTCCGCTATCCGTGTAGCTGTGATTGAAAGCAATGCAGCTTTCGACCCAACCGTGCTGGTTCAGCACGTTGGTGTAGAGTCGCGAGTACATACCCTTTCCAGGGCCACCGGCCGAGAATGAGCCACCACCACCGAGGAGGGTCTGGAGAGTAGCAAGAGCGTAGATATCAGGCGAGGAGATGGGGAGAGCCTCGAAGGCAAGGTGGATGTGACTCAAGCGAGGGAGCATGGGGCTCGCGGGGGGAGGAATCGAAGGGAGGGCGATAAAGCCACCCGTGTAGTGAGCAGGTTGGCGGAGGTTGAGCGCGGATGGCTCAACCAGGGATGAGTGGAGAGGCTCGACTGCAGAGCTCTTAGAGGAAGAGAGATTCTTGAGGAAAGGAAGCTTTGACAAGAGCGAAGAGTGTGTTTTTTGAGAAGCAGCCGGGCTGCTGATTGTCGATGAGGGCGTGAACGAAGGAACGGTCGGCACCTGGCCTTCGTGGGCGGCCGCTTGGGAATCAGACAGTGTGGTTTCGATTCCGCTGCCAGACAGTACAGGACCCTTGGTCTTACTGATGTCACTCGGCTTCATGTCGCCAAAGTACTGCTCTGTGAGCTGAACAGCCTCTGCATGTGGCACTCCGGCAAAGGCAACCACCATCCGATCCGGGTTGAAGAAAAGCTCCCTGTACCGCTCTACCACAGCCTTGTTGATTTCGCCTAGCCGTTCTTCTGGGCACAATAGCGGATTTCCAAGAGTGTTGTTGGCATAAGCAGTCATGTGCACCAATTCTGGAAGGATGAGTTCCGGCTTCGCCCAAATCTCGCCTATCTCGTACTCCGCAGTTGCGAGCTGTTGGATAACCTCCTCTTCAGTGATGAGGGGATCTCGAATGGTCTCCGCAAGCAGGCCGAGCGTGGTAGGAACTGCCGAGTTGAAACTGGCAGACTGGTACATCAACGATTCTCGAGATGAGGCACACTGAATGTTACCGCCTAGGGACTCCAGAATCTCAAGCATTTCATCTCCAGTGCGCGCCTTGGTAGACTTGAAGGCTAGACGGTCCATAATGTGGCTGACTCCGCGCAGACTCTCATCTTCGTAGCGAGATCCGGCATCGACGTAAACTCCGACACCAGCGAAGGGACCCGGTAATGATTCCGTGGCCACGCGGACTCCATTTGAAAGTGTGGTGATTTGTTCTAGCTCGGCGGGATCCTGCGGAGAAAGAAACAGTTCGTCAGTTACAAATGACGCTGTGTTGTAGGACCTATCGAGGCTCTCTTACCTTGACCGATTCATTGACGGTAGAGAGGCTTCTTGACACGGCGCGAGGAGCTCGTGTCAATGGCTTCGCGGACTCGATGGCCCGCAATGCTGTGCGGCGCATAGTGGTTCTGTACAAATCCAACAGCCTGATTAATTCGGGATTTCTTGGTTGCACCGAATATATCCGGTAAAAGTGTGATGTAGCTCGGACGGATTGTCGGCGAAGAATCGTAATCCTCGATCCAAAATGCTTAGCTAATCCGTTGCATGGTGGATTCTTAGTTAACTAGATATTCTTCTGTTGACATAGCAGATCAAAGTGAATAACTAAATACTTTTATGATATTTTTAACAAGAAGCGGTGTTCTACTGATTTTTTGACATCATTCGTGACTGGCGTAGCACGGAGTGTCTAGTCCGCTTACCCCAGGGCATGACCTGCAGGGCTCGAATATATACCAAAACATATGGACGTGGAATCTGAATGAAAATTTGCAGAACAATGAGTCGTCAAGTTTTCTATGTACTAAAGATTAAATAACTAAGGGTGTTCCGAAGCCCAGTTTCTATACCAATCAAGACATGAAGCATTCGCAACACTTGCACCAATCTTGATGTTAAGCCCACACAAAATCTGCTTAACAGCATTCTCCACCTTCTTGCCATTAGAAGTCACTGGGATATCAGGACATGCGTCAATAATACCAGGGACATGGCGCGGGCTAAGTTCCTTCCGAATTGTGGACTGAATGCGTGCCGCGAGATCCGCCGGCATACCCGACTCGTTGCCAGCAGCAAGCCGGACAAACAGAACGACGGTTTCATCGGTGTCGATACCATCTCGTCTCCGGCCAATGCAAAGAGAATCTTCCACCTCGTCGGCGAAATGCTTGAGAAGAATGTTGTAAATTTCGGCACTTCCAAATCGCACTCCGGATGGCTTGAGTACACCGTCGCTGCGGCCTAGCATGACCACACCTCCAGTTTGTGGGTTCAAGCGCACGTAGTCTCCATGGTGCCAGACTGTGGGCCCGAACAAATCGAAGTAGCTCTTCCGGTACTTCTCCAAGCCTGTTGGTCCCGGGGGCCAGAACATGACTGGTTGGGCCGGGAAGGGTGTGATGCAGACAAGATCACCAGGTTCGCCTGATGCGCTGATATCCTTGCCAGCATAGTCGAACACTGAGATGTCCATGCCCAGAGAGCGGCATTGGATCTCTCCTTTGTAAACGGGGAGAATAGGGCAACCGGAGGCGAAGAGGGAGAGGATGTCTGTGCCACCGGTGATGGAA